ACAACTTTTTTGTTTCAGAAAAAAGAAAAAAAGAAAAATAAAAAAACGATGAGAAGCAATGAAACAAGTAACAAAATGAAGTTTAAAGCGAAATAAAGGCGACTTTCGAAAAAACTGTCGTTCTCTCGCCTGAGAGACGCAGCCCGCGAAAAATTGGTAATATGAGCAAGTGCGACACAGACAAATGCGCGCTACAGTACGCTCTTCTAGCAAAAACTGGAGCTCCGAGGTCAAAAAAAGGCTTTTTAAACTCAATTTCGCCTATTATTACTGTTTTCTTAGAGCAAACAATTTCAAAGTCGAAAATATCGCGAAAATCGAGAAAACAAAAAACTTTTTGTTGCTCTCATAGGATAATCAAAAGGAAGACTAGAGTAATAGACCTATAACTTGAAACATCTTCTAAACTCGTTTTTGTCTTCTATTTGCTCTTTGGTGCCATGTCACACTTGGCTCGCAGCTGTGACCCAAAAAAGAGCCTTGGTGTGGCTTTTTTCTTTTACAACTGGTTGTAAATTAGAGAGAGTCCAAAATGAAGGCTGAAATATGACCTCAACAGAAAAACGATCTTTGGACTCAAGCAAAGTTAAGATACAGTAATTTCAAGCTATAGTAACTTTTGGAGTTCAAATTATATGGTTTAGTTCAAAATTTCATATGACAATTATAGAAATGGATCTAGTGACAAGGCTTGAAGCTTCTCAATTCTATTTTGCAAAGCGCTTTGGAAAAGTGATTAATTGAGAACAAAGAATCGAAGATGGAGAGCTTTTTTCACAATAAAAGTTAGATAAAAGTATATTTTGTATCTCTCGAGCAATGTTCAATGAAATAGGAACTGAAACGCCTTCGCAATTCAATTTATGGCTGAAAACCATTTTGAACACCAGAAAAGAAATAAAAAAAAGAAAACCGTAGAGGGATAGAATTCTACAGAGCTTGAAACTAAGCAAAATTAAATAATTCAATTTTCTGCCTAATACTTGTGCTCGAGTTGGAAAGAAGAGAAAAAGTTGGAAACTTCGAAAATGTGAAAAAAAAAAGCTCGAGAACGGTCTGCCAAGAAAATGAACAGCACAGAAAAAGCTGAGAAACAACAGTCCGTCATGTCGGAAATCGGTCTTCCCAGCCCTGGAGAGGCTGGAGAGCCCAATTCGGACCGACCGCTCGGGACAGAGTTCCGACAACAGAATGAAGACCGTAAAGACACGCCTACATTTTTGGCTTGGGTCACACTCTCCCGACACGCCCACTATTGCATGGAAAGGAGATTTTGGATCGATTCATAACAAAAACAAATGTTTCTACATTTCCAAGCCTTACTTTTGCCTGGATCGAAAATTCGAAAAAGGCAATAAGTTTGTAACAAAGAAAGCCAATAAGATTTCAAATAAAGAGTTCTAAAAAAAGTCGAGAGATGTCACTGAGGCAAAAATTACACGAAAAAAATAGGGATATTATTCTTCTTTAGAATTTTTCTCAAGTATATCGGAAAAACGAAAAAGTATATGAGGAAAGATATCGAAGTTGTAGAGTTTCCAACAAAAATGAATTCGGGAAAGATGAAAAATCAGTCGTTTCAATAGTTCGAAGTCTTTGAAATAGACCTTAAAAATAATTAAGAATCCAATAAATGGGTTTAGTAAAAATAGTTGGAAATTCTTAGATCTTTTTTTGTAACGCGTTCACGCTTGCTTGTGATAACTTTTTGAGTATTAGAAATGAATTTTGATACGAACTCCTACTTAGTCATGTTGAATTATCATAATACCTACGGAATCAAGAAGAAATTTCACATATAAAATCAAAATCTATACAGCCGAAGATGATCCAAAAAGTTACGTACAAATTTCGAAGCTTTATTTTGAACAAAATCGATAATTTTACAAAAAAGAAACACCTATAAAAAAAACCAATCTTCTAGAAGTGGAAAGATAATATTACTGCAAAGGGCCAAAGAAGCATGTTTTCCTTGTTTTTCCAAATTCTCAAAAAAGACGGTCGAAAGAAAGACTACAAAAATAGACCTAAAGTTTGAAACATCTTCTAAACTCGTTTTTGTCTTCTACTTGCTCTTTGGTGCCATGTCACACTTGGCTCGCAGCTGTGACCCAAAAAAAGAGCCTTGGTGTGACTTTTTTCTTTTACAACTGATTGTAAATTAGAGAGAGTCCATAATGAAGGCCGAGATATGACCTCAACAGAAAAAAGATCTTTGGACTTGCAAGAATCAAAGATCGAGTTACTGTATTCATTTGAAATAGGATTGTCAATCGAGATGAAAATTTTGTTGACTGAAGAAAAAAAGCTAATTCATGTAAAATATTCGACAATCTCAATTTTTTTTAAAAAGTTCTCAATTTTTTTCGAGAAGACTCTACTGAGAAAAATTATTCTGAAGGTTGAAGCATGAAATTATGAATTATTATATAAATTTTCACTGTTTCAAATTATCGTCTTTTTTCCCGGCCTAAAATCCCTGCGTGACTGGGTAAAACGGAAAATTGCTTCAAACTGCTACAAATATTCGGATTATTATCGAGTATTAGCCGAAATATCGTTCTACTTGAAAATGGGCTTGATATCTTTATAATGAAAGATGTAGCTGGAATATTTCGTTGCTATAACACAGGTTGATTCGAAAACTTCAGAATTTGAAGTGGCTCTAAATCTATTTTTTACTTTTCAATGCCAGAACAATCGAGTTTCTGAATTTACACGTAAAAAAACCGTTTTAAAGGTATTTGTAATACTTTGTGTGTTGCTTACTGAACAACTTGGTCAACGTTAGAAGCAAAATCTACTCAGAAAAGAGCAAAAAACATCGAAAATGGCACGTTTTTGCATCATTCGCCTCATTTGAAACGCCTTTCTATTGAAAATACAGTGAACCACGTTCCAAACAGTACCTGGGTATGTTTTGAAACAAAAATCAAAAACAAAAAAGACAAAAAAACGAAAAAATAAGAGTGAAAAATGAGCGCAACGAGAGCAGAGGAAGAGCGGCTGTCTGCAATCTTCCTAATCGGTGTATGCGGAATTTCATCCGCCGCTTACCGTTTCCACGTAGAAATCGCTAAGACTTATGAAAACTAATATTCTTATGTTTGATTCATGTCTATTACTTTTTCTGAATGTAGAGAAAAATAACAAACAAAAAAAATTGTATTATTCGCCGGCTAAAGGTTCCCGCAACGACTCAGGAGCCACAGTGGTCAGTTTTCGACGCTCAATTTTTTGTGTTCGACAGACTAGATCTTTCATAATAGAGATCAATTTTATTTCGAAAGCATGAATTGTCTAACAAGTCTTTTTTCTGAACATAGGTACAATTAGAATCAACTCAAAACATGAAAAATCTACTGAAAAGTCGCCTTTTGCCGCAATTGCCGAGTTATGTAATAAATAAGAGGATTTCTATGTAGACTTCCGTGAAACGAGTTACTATTTTGCCATTTTTCGATTCAGTCAGTTAAATCCAAAAACGATTTGTGAAAAAGAAAAAAATCATATGAAAAAGACTTTTTTTCTCGGGATTGCAGAATATTCAACAGTTTTTTTCACTGAGTTCCAGATGAGTTGCGTGAGCAAACAATTGATAGTTTTGTCTTGGAACTGATTCCACAGGAATCTCCGACAATTAACGAGGAACAGGATGGCCTGTTTCCCAAAAATATTGCAAAAGAGGACATTTTTTACCCTTTCAGGCCTTAAAAGGTTTTTTTCTCTTTTAGAAATTTTCCCAGTCACGAAAACTCTCCATAATTGGTTTGGACTTGCCTGGGACTTTCATCCGGAATGCCGTTTACATTCCTAATAAAAAGCTTTTTCTCTTTTTTCAAACTTTCTTATTCCCGTCTGTTAACACTTTACTCTCCTACTCTTTGATGAGAAAACTCACGACACCGCCCACGTCCGATTTATCGATGTAGTCGTGCAAGGTCGAAGTTTTCTTCTGAAAACTTTGTCGCCCGATTATCTTTCAAGAGAAATTCTGAAGAAAATTTCTTGTTTTTATAGGCTGTCTGTATCATCAAAGCAATTTTCAAACTAATTCTCCTTTTTCAAATGATAATTTTCCTGTTGTCACTTCACTTGTATGGCTTTGAAGAGGGTTTTATAAAAATGTAAAAAACTTTCGCTCAGACAATCAATTCGTTTTTCTGGAAAAAAAGACAAGAAAAAAATGTTTAGATATTCAAATAAAAAAATTCGAACGTCGCCAAAAAGAATTTCTGGTTCGATTATTTTTGCTTCGACCATTTGTGTAAACCTTCTTTTTCAAGATTGAAAGTTTAGTTTCAATAGAAAAATGATACCTGATTTTACTGGAGAAGACAGATACATGTTGAAGTAGAGTTTCCCCAAAAATTGGTCGTCGGCAAAGTTTTCTGAGAAAAACCAATTGTAGCACAAAATTTTCAAACAACATTGTACGCGTTATGAAGAAAATAATGAAAAGCAAAAAAATATTGAATCGATATCTTTACACGAAATTCGCTTTTAGACTTACGACAGAAAATCGAGGAGCAATATTTTTCAAGCGTTTCGATATTATTTTCTTTCGTGTTCCGAAGTTTTTATTTCATTTTGCTTGACATTCGGCCAATTTCTAGCCTAATCCTGTAAAAATTTGTTGTGAAAAAATGCTCTCGATGAGGTAAACCAACAACGGGTGAAAAATATCATTTCAAAGCTTTCCGCATTCAGAATCAACTATTTTCAAAAAAAGGATTACGACAAGTTTTTAGTTGGTTCCATTCAGAACCGACCTTCTTCCTGGAGATAGTTATCTCGATGTTGACAACTACATTTTCTGAGAGAATCTTCAGGACGATCCGTTCAGAAGTTTTGAAAACAAAGATATGAAATACGCATAAACGTATTTAGTTCATCAAATTTTTTTCAAAAAGACGCAAGTTTTATTTAAAAAAAACAGTACAAGTAGACAAAAAAAAAACGCGACAAGTGTTGAATTTTTAACACTTCATTTGACAGAATTAGTTGCTCTGAGTTCCTTGGGGCTCGCAGCTGTCTTCCGTGGCTTCCCGAATAGCTTCTGACATCAGTGTTTTGAACTGAAAAATGTGACATTCAACATATTTATTCGAAAAAGTATGTACAATTAACTTTTTTTTTCTTTTCCGATTTTAAATAGTAAACTCAATTCTAACTCATTGAAAACAAGACATTCCGTTATAAATGCGGTGAATTTGGGAGATTCAAGCTTAAAGAAGCTCATTTTCTATTTTCGGATGAGATGGCCTTATTTTTAACTCTGGTTCCATTCAGAACCGACCTCCTGCTTCCTGGAGATAGTTATCTCGATGTTGACGACTTAATGTTTTGAAAGAATCTTCAGGATGATCCGTTCAGAAGTGATGTTTTTTTTTACTGTTAATGTGTTTCCAAAAGCGTTATTTTCTGACACAGAAAAATGGAAAACCGCCCGAAATTGATCAATTTCGGTGGTTTACCACTATTTTTAAAATTTCGCATCATTTCTAAAATGAAATCCTTTGGATTATCTTTTGAATGCCGTCTATAATTTATGTTGACCTTTTTTTGATTCTTGATCCTAGTTCTTTGCTCTCAAAGTCATAGGTTTTTTTATCAACCTACTGCCGGGTTTTTCAGAAATCTAATTATAAGTTTTTTTTCGACTTACATCATGATTGATTTGATCGAAATATTCTCGATCGAGTTTTTTCATCGGCCAGTTTGTTCTGTCACGTAAGATCCTCTTGCCCACTTCGCGTAACTCCCATTGAGTTAAATTCTGAAATATTTGGAAATTATAATTGAAAAAATTCCGAACCTCTCTCTTAATTGAAGAGGAGCAAGGATTAAATTTAGCTCTAAAAAATATTTCAGCGTCCGAGGGCGTGTGGCGGAGCTGCAAATTTTCCGGTCGTTTCATTCATGCAAAAAGGCTATGATACAAAAAAAAAATGAACGCCACATTTTTGGTTTTCTAAGTGCAGTATATCCCTAAGTTTTTCACTTACTCGTTCTTGAAATAACCGTCTCCCGCGTTGAGTTGGTGTACGAAAGTCTTCCGCGCAGAATGTCGTTTTTAGGACAACCTGTAAAGAATTGAATTGACTTTCTTGATTTTTTTGATTATTTCTGAGACAGAACTTGGACTTCTAATTGGACCAACGAATTTTCTTTGTTGTTTTTTTCCGGGTCTCAATTTAGAGTAAAGTTTATTTTTGACTTACACGACTGGATTGAACCTGCGTGCAGTTGTTATTGGGGTCGAGCTCGCTTTTTGTGGGCTTTTGTCGGACACAAGAAACCGTTTTCTGTAAAATGATTAAAGTTTTTTCTTCTACCTAGTGTTGTCAGCTCTCAAAAAAACTATTTTTAAATTTTAAGTTTGCATTTTTTTGCTACCAGAAAAAAATTCAATCAATTTCTATTTGCTTCAAACTGAATAATATTTAATGTTTGCTTTTGAGGAAATTGTGAGAACAAAACTTTCTAGATTTTTTTGGAAAAAAATTTTTGTCTTATTCGAACTTTTTTTTATTTGCCTGAACGTCGAAAAACTTTTTTCAACATAGAATTGATCTGCTCTGATAAACTTTTCTCTTTGTCTAATTAACTTAAAGTGAGTTAAGTTTTCGAAGATGAAGTGATTTTGCATCAAGCAAAAATGAAAAAAATTACATAGTTAAAGTTATTGAATACTTTCAGAGTTTGTGATTCTCGCAGTTAATCCGTTTTTTTTTTCCAACACGCGGTCTATGAAAAAACTGAAAAGTCTTACCGTCGCCTCGATACATTTGACGTGGAACCTCTTATCTAACGCAGGACTGCTTCCAACATTCGGCTTGTCTGAAAAAATCTTTTTGAGAAAGTTTGAAATTAGAGAGAGACTCAACTACGTTTTTTTCTTATGGAAAAAAATTTCGGTAGCATAATGATTACTAATATTATCTCAGTTCTACATCTCGAGTGGTCGATCTTCATTTCCGCTTTTGCCTGAGGCTCGACGCCCGTCATAAAAATTCTCTACATCTTAAAATATTGAGGACAAATCGATTTACGAGCCATTCTTGGTCAAAGCGATCTCGCAAACCAACAATTTATTTTTTTCATTTATTCTATAGTTCAGCAGAGTTTTTTTGAAGTTTTTTTATTTGAGTTCAATTTGTATTTCTGAAGATTGTTGAATTTTTCTTGCAGATCCTTACATTTCAACAAAAAATTTTTACCTTTGCTGTTTTCCATTTGAAACATTTTTTTGATGAGTTCTTTGTTTCTATTTTTGTGCTCATCGTCATGATCACAGAAATGCGTCAAATTGATGATAATGGGCCTTTCCACGGTTCCTGCAAAAAATTAGCTCAATCCACAGAAATTCCGATCATATATTAATTATTTGCGTCATTCTGGCATGAAAAAACGCAAAATTAATTTCAATATTTTTTTCATTACATCTGTTTGTGGGAAATTTTTGCCTTTGACCAACCTTGCGCAAAATCTTTTAAGAGCATAGCCAGAGCGTCATCGTTTGGAGGGGCCGTTGACAGACCATCTGAGTTTTCCTTGCCGCCTCCGAGGCTTTTGTCAAGTTTTGAATCGTCACCTGCAAATAATCGGTTGAAAGTAAAATCCACTTCATTTGGAAGAGTTTCCGAAGAAAAATCACAAAGAGAATAAAATCCCAAGATCTCACCGAAAAAGTTCCCGGAAGTCCAAAATTTTCAAGTCTCATCATATTTTATATAAAATTCAAAAATACTAAAAACTCACTGTAACGGAGACGTGTCGCAGACCGTGGTTGTGTGAGAAAATTTTTAGCGCGTGAAAGTAGATCCGCTGACGAATTTAAAAGAGATTCTGCGGCTGAAGAGTCTCTGACGTCGACTCCACGGGAAGACAGAGTTTCGGAAATCTGCTCGGCTTCTGAAAAAGTTTTATTAGTTATACGATATTTTGTATTAGGTAATTGGGCGACTTTTCAAATGTCTTTTCTAGAAAGAACGGTCATTCTGTTCAAATAAGAAAATATTTACTCCAAAAATTCCACTCACTGTTATTCATGTTGGAGTCTACGGCGCTTTTTCCATATTCATTCGGGCTTTCGACTTTTCCTCCGGAAGATGAAGCGACATTTACGGAAAACGACAAATTCTCGACATCTAAAAATATCCGATGAATAAAGTTTCTGAAAATAGTTCGTCATCTCAAATAATTATAACTTCACAAAAAAAGTTATCAAACTTTATGAGTTTATTTGAAACGGTAAAATGAAAGAAAATGTATTCTTACCTCCATTTTTCGGTTGTCGCGGATGTTGTGGGTGAGGATGTCGAGGGTTTAATTATTGCCAAGTGTGAGATTGTGCCTAAAAGTTCATCTATTCAAAAATGAAGCTGTGGGGAGACTTGGTGCAGAACTCAAAACGTCAATGTTTTTTTTGAATTTGACATTTACCCTAACGGGAAAACAACCAAGAAGAAGTGCTCAGAGAATAAATAGATTCTCAATTATTCCAGTGAATTTTTGAGTAAACTTCCGAGTAACCTACCGAGAGTGATTGTGGACGGATGGCTGGGCCTGCCGGCGCCTTGGAAGACGTCGGCAGGTGTTCCAGCCAAACCGTCACCTTCATGATCTCCGGTTTGTTCTGAGTCGACAACACGATCTTGGCAGGTCTCGAGCGGCTCAACGACGGAATTGCCAACAGGACGAAGATTTGCCGGGAGGACGTTGAGGGCAGCGGATGCTGAAAAAAGGTTTTTGTTGGGTCTTACATCAATGAAAAATCAGGTTGATTGAAAGTTTACATTTAGCAGGAAAAAGAACTGAGTTCAACTATTTCGAACTTTTGAGCCATTTTCAATTCGGAAAACTTTCACGTCTAAGTCGGAAAAAATTCAAGTTGAATGCAATATTCATTTGTTTTCGCGAGTAAATGTTTTCAGATTAGTTTTGATTCCAATCTGTTTTTGAACGAGTTCAAACCTCCGTTAAGCTGACGTCGTCGGAGTGATCCCTGCCGAGCTCCCGTAGTTGCCGATGTTGATGTTGGACTTGTCGTACGAAGCATGGGACCTGGAAAATCAAGGTTTGAACAGTAATATGAAGGAAAATTATCCACAATTGGATAAAAACAGGTTTTCTAATGATCATTCGAGACACAGTTTTCCAATTTCTTCATAACTCACCGCGGTATGGACGAGAAGTTGCCGTGCGTGGACGTTGATCAGAAGTTGGCAAAGCCGGGAACTGGCGGTCGTAGTCGTGGACGTCCGACACTGTAATTAAAAGTTCCTTGTGAAATGTCACTTTCAAGTCATCGTAATAAATTACGAGACGTGAAGACTGTAGAAGTGAATGAAAAAGGTAAATTTCTGTGAGAAGCTACCGACTCTTCTTCACATGGACTATTCTCTAGAGTCATCTGAAAGTGAAATCGAAGTTCTAAACTGACCGTTTTCGATGCGGGAAGTCGGAAGAGTCGCCGTTCCGTCGTTGCCAACTGCGGAAGCATACGTACCGGGAACGGTGTCCTTCTTAGCCGGGGATGCAGCACGAGAGTTGTCGCTCATCACTGTGTCTGGAATCTTTCGAGTTACTTTTTGAGAAATGGTTTAAGAGAAGAATCGCGAGCGTAATAACGAAACCGAGAAGACATTGAGATTCGAAAGTTGAAAATTTGCGACACGTGGATAACGGAAAAAACAACAAACTAACCAAGTTTTCCCAGTTTTTCATTCAAAAAAATCGCGTTTCAAAACATTCAACGGAATTTTGTTTGGGAGTTACTTTAAAATTTCTCTGAATAATGCTTATTGAAAAACTTGGATAACTTTGAAAGCAAAAAAAGCGGAAAAAACCAGCGGAAAAAAATACTAAAAAAAAAAAGACTATTTCGCATCATTTGTCTCGTTTAAAAACACGTTAGAACAGAAAAATACTTTGAACCAATATTAATAAAGAAAATTCGGCAAAGATTCAGAACAAAAAAAGCTTCGAAAGTTTCTTGAAACTAAATTGAACAAAAAGAGAAAAATGGTTGGCAAGTCGACTTTGAGACTTATTAACGACGATATATAAACCAAGATTTTTTAGTTTTTGATGCAAAAACATTCGAGTTTTCGTATTTAAAAGTAGAAAAAAGTTCAAAAGTACTTATATTGTTTTATGTGTTGCTTATCAGACATTTTGGTCAATATTAGAAGCAAAACCTAGTCAGAAAAGAGCAAAACATATCGAAAATGACGCGATTTTGCAACATTCGCCTCATTTGGAACGCCTTAAGACAGAAAATACATTGTACAACGTTTAAAACAAGACGTGGGTTGATTTTGAAAGAAAAATCAGAAACAAAAAAGAGAAAAAAACGGAAAAATAAGAGTGGAAAATGAGCGCAACGAGAGCAGAGGAAGAGCGGCTGTCTGCAATCTTCCTAATCGGTGTATGCGGAATTTCATCCGCCCTTTACCGTTTTCACGTAGAAGTCGCAAAGACTTATGGAAACTAATATTCTTATATTTGATTCAGGACAATAAAAAAAAAGCTCGAGAACGGCCTGCCAAGAAAATGAAAAACACAGAAAAAGCTAAGAAACAACAGTCCGTCATGGCGGAAATCGGTCTTCCCGCCCTGGAGAGGCTGGAGAGCCCAATTCGGACCGACCGCTCGGGACAGAGTTTCCGACAACAGAATGAAGACCGTAAAGACACGCCTACATTTTTTTGGCTTGGGTCACACTCTCCCGACACGCCCACTATCGCATGGAAAGGAGATTTTGGATCGCTTTATAACAAAAACAAATTATTCTACATTTCCAAGCCTTACTTTTGCCTGGATCGAAAATTCGAAAAAAGCAATAAGTTTGCAACAAAAAAAGCTATTGAGATTTTGGATAACGAGTTTCAAAAAAAAGTCGAGAAATGTCATTGAAGCAAATTTACACGAAAAGGGAGGATATCACCTTACTTCGAAGTTTCGTTCTTAAAAATATCAAAAACGAAAGAGAATATTAGAAAAGATTCTGAAGTTGTAGAGTTTCCAACAAAACGAGTTCAAGAAAGAAGATAAAAACGATGAGAAGCAATGAAACAAGTAACAAATGAAGTTTGAAGCGAAATAAATGCGACTTTCGAAAAAAAAAACTGTCGTTCTCTCGCCTGAGAGACGCAGCCCGCGAAAATTGGTAATATGAGCAAGTGCGACACAGACAAATGCGCGCTACAGTACGCTCTTCCAGCAAAAACTGGAGCTCCGAGGTCGAAAAAAGGCTTTTTAAACTCAATTTCGCCTATTATTACTGTTTTCCTAGAGCAAACAATTTCAAAGTCAAAAATATCGCGAAAATCGAGAAAACAAAAATCTTTTTTTTATGTTGCTCTCAAAGGATAATCAAAAGGAAGACTAGAGTAATAGACTACAACTTGAAACATCTTCTAGACTCGTTTTACATCTTCTACTTGCTCTTTGGTGCCATGTCACACTTGGCTCGCAGCTGTGACCCAAAAAAAGAGCCTTGGTGTGACTTTTTTCTTTTACAACTGATTGTAAATTAGAGAGAGTCCATAATGAAGGCTGAGATATGACCTCAACAGAAAAAAACGATCTTTGGACTCAAAAAAAGTAAAGATACATTAATTTCAAGCTGTAGTAACTTTTTGGAATTCAAACGATATGGTATAGTTCAAAATTTCATATGAAAATTCTAGAAAATGAATCTAGTGACAAGGCTTGAAGCTTCTCAATTCTATTTTGCGAAAGCGCTTTGAAAAAAATTGATCAACTGAGAAAAAAGAATCGAAGATGGAGAGCTTTTTCACAATAAAAAGTTAGAGAAAAGTATATTTTGTATCTTTTGATGAATGTTCAATAAAATAGGAACTGAAACGCCTTCGCAATTCAATTTATGGCTGAAAACCATTTTGAAAAAGAAAATACGGATCGAATTCTACAGAGTTTGAAACTAAGCACAATTAAATAATTCAATTTTCTGCCTAATACTTGTGCTCGAGTTGAAAATAAGAGAAAAAGTTGGAAACTTCGAAAATGTGAAAAAAAAAGCTCGAGAACGGTCTGCCAAGAAAATGAACAGCACAGAAAAAGCTGAGAAACAACAGTCCGTCATGTCGGAAATCGGTCTTCCCAGCCCTGGAGAGGCTGGAGAGCCCAATTCGGACCGACCGCTCGGGACAGAGTTCCGACAACAGAATGAAGACCGTAAAGACACGCCTACATTTTTGGCTTGGGTCACACTCTCCCGACACGCCCACTATTGCATGGAAAGGAGATTTTGGATCGATTCATAACAAAAACAAATGTTTCTACATTTCCAAGCCTTACTTTTGCCTGGATCGAAAATTCGAAGAAGGCAATAAGTTTGCAACAAAGAAATAGAATCCAATAAATGGGTTTAGTAAAATAGTTGAAAATTCTTTAGATCTTTTTGTAGCGCGTTCACGCTTGCTTGTGATAACTTTTGAGTATTAGAAATGAATTTTGATACGAACTCCTACTTAGTCATGTTAAATTATCATAATACCTACGGAATCAAGAAGAAATTTCACATATAAAATCAAAATCTATACAGCTTATATAACCGATGATGATCCAAAAAGTTACGTACAAATTTCGAAGCTTTATTTTTGAACAAAAATCGATAGTTTTACAAAAAAATGAAAGACCTATAAAAAAACCAATCTTCTAGAAATGGAAAGATAATTTTACTGCAAAGGGCCAAAAGAAGCATGTTTTCCTTGTTTTTCCAAATTCTCAAAAAAACGGTCGGAAGAAAGACTACTAAAATAGACTTAAAGTTTGAAACATCTTCTAGACTCGTTTTTGTCTTCTACTTGCTCTTTGGTGCCATGTCACACTTGGCTCGCAGCTGTGACCCAAAAAAAGAGCCTTGGTGTGACTTTTTTCTTTTACAACTGATTGTAAATTAGAGAGAGTCCATAATGAAGGCTGAGATATGACCTCAACAGAAAAAGATCTTTGGACTCGCAAGAATCAAAGATCGAGTTACTGTATTTATTTGAAATAGGATTGTCAATCAAGGTAAAAACTTTTTGTTGAAAAAGCTGTTTCTTGTAAAGTATATGGAAATTTCGTTTTTAAACAAAAAGTTGAAATACTGATAATCGTGTGCCGCAGTGTACTCTATGTAATTCATTTATCAAAGAGTTTTTTTGAAAGAAAACTGATACACAAAACAATATAATTTTTATGATTATTAATTTCAGTTGAAAAAAACTTTCCGCGTACAATTTCATGGAGCATTGCTCACTGGTCGCCAAAAATACAAAAATCCAAAACTTTGGCTTTCATTCGTCTACACAGTTTCCGAGTTCCTATATCTATTCTCGCAGAGTTTATTTGACTTGGTATTTAGAGATTGTTTTACTCATCTTAAACACTGTTTTCAAAAAACGGCGTCTGTAAAAACTGCGGAAATTTGCTGAAAAATCCGTTTGGGACCAATTGTGGCTGAAAAAAGATTGCATTTTCTCCCTTCAATTCGAAACTTTCCGCAGGTTTCCCAAAGTTTTTCGATTCTAAATGTTTCGGGCTTTTGAAGTTTCCTAACTCGAAAACGGAATCAATCGCGAGAAATCTTCTTCTTTTTCTGGGATCAGGGGGTCCATAAGTACACTTCAGCAAAGTTCCAGCAAAAGTTCAACCGAGGGGTAAAAGATGTTTCTTAGTCAATCAAAAGACCGGTTAAATGTCTGTTAAAAGAGAGTTTTAAAAATTTTAAAAGGTTCTATAAATGTGCTGAAGGGTATATGAGATATTGTCGCAAGAGAAAGTGATAGTTATACCATGAAACAAAATTTTGATCGACTAGTTCTGCTTCAGTCATCATCACGTGGCCAACTTCCGCTGCTTTTCCCAGCCCTCGGACTTCTGCTCAAACGAGAGAATGAAGCAGAGCTGCAACATCTTCCAGCGATGGCGGCGAGAAGAAAGATGCGTTCATTTTTGGAATACCCGTGGCCGATTTCGAGACCCTTTTTTGTCGCAGTATACAGTCTAAAACAAAAAACAGATCATCGTAAAACAATGAAATCCTCTCGAATACTTTGATCCCGCAAAGAATCAGCGGAAACAAAAAAAGCTTCTCAGCATTTTTTCCTCTTTGATCTTTTTAGAGTAGCGAGACAGAAACACAAAAAACCTGATTACCTAATGAAAAGATCCCGTCAAAGTTCGCATCACGGAACGGCTTCCATTGACCAAATTTGGTGTTCAGCACCAGCAGAAATGGAGGAAGTAGGAGTTCGGCGATTTCCACACAGACGCGGTCAGAACTGACGACGTGACTTCTTTCTCATGACCCTAGTGGAAAGGCCACGTGGAACGTCAACAACTTTCAAAACGTGCGCGGCCGGGTCAGTGAGAGAGCGTGGAAAAAAAGAGAGTGCGTGTCTCGGTGTATCCTTGTTTCCCGCGGCCGCCGGCCAGTTTTTTTCTTTCTGGTACTATCAGAAATACCTTAACTAATGCATTTTTTTTGATAAAATGAAAACCAATCGATGTGACCAGCTTTTTTGCAGATTCCCAAATTTTTTGAAATGCAGTTTTTGCTGAGAAATGCACTTTCTCTTTTTTCCACGCTCTCTCACTGACCCGGCCGCGCACGTTTGAAAGTTGTTGACGTTCCACGTGGCCTTTCCACTAGGGTCATGAGAAAGAAGTCACGTCGTCAGTTCTGACCGCGTCTGTGTGGAAATCGCCGAACTCCTACTTCCTCCATTTCTGCTGGTGCTGAACACCAAATTTGGTCAATGGAAGCCGTTCCGTGATGCGAACTTTGACGGGATCTGTTCATTAGGTGATCGAGTTTTTTGTGTTTATGTCTTGATACTCTCTCAAATTCAAAGAGAAAAGATGCAAGGAAACTTAATTTTTTTCGGCTGATTCTTTGCGAAATCAAAATGTTTGAAAGGATTTCATTGTTTTACGATGATCTGTTTTTTGTTTCAGACTGTATACTGCGACAAAAAAGGGTCTCGAAATCGGCCACGGGTATTCCAAAAATGAACGCATCTTTCTTTCCGCCGCCATCGCTGGAAGATGTTGCAGCTCTGCTTCATTCTCTCGTTTGAGCAGAAGTCCGAGGGCTGGGAAAAGCAGCGGAAGTTGGCCACGTGATGATGACTGAAGCAGAACCAGTCGATCAACTTTGTTTCATGGTATAACTTTTACTTCCTCTTGCGACAATATATCTTCTCCTTTCCGCACATTTAGAAAACCTTTTAGAAATTAAAAAAAACTGTTTTTTTCACCTAATTTGCGTTTTTTGTACTTTGAAGCTTCATAACTCGGAAACGAGGTCTACTGCGAGAAATTTTTGTTTTGGAATCAGGGGGTCCTAAAGCAAAAGTTCAGCCGGGGGTAAGTAACATCCCCTGGTTGAAAAAAGTTGTTACTGTAAAAGGTTTATGAAAATTGAGACACTAAATTCACCTGTATGAAAGTTTTCACTTAAAAAGCGGCAGCAGAACATGTACACTTCTTTGAAAACTTCTTTTTTCAGTCCACATAGGGTTAAAACCACCTCAAATTTCAAAATGTTTTCATTGTTTTCCTGATCCTTTTTCAACTGAATTAAATGAAAAAAACAGTTTCAAAATTCGAAAAGTACTTCGAATAATTTGAACAGCAGCAGAAACTTGTTGTGACTTCGATTTGACTTTGAATTAATTCAAAATTTTATTTTTCATGCTGAGAAAACTTCAATTACAATCGAAAAACTTTGGGAAACCTGCGGAAAGTTTCGAATTGAAGGGAGAAAATGCAATCTTTTTTCAGCCACAATTGGTCCCAAACGGATTTTTCAGCAAATTTCCGCAGTTTTTACAGACGCCGTTTTTTGAAAACAGTGTTTAAGATGAGTTAAACAATCTCTAAATAACAAGTGAAATAAACTCTGCGAGAATAGATATAGGAACTCGGAAACTGTGTAGACGAATGAAAGCCAAAGTTTTGGATTTTTCTATTTTTGGCGACCAGTGAGCAATGCTCCTTGGAATTGTACGCGGAAGTTTTTTTCAACTGAAATTAAGAATCATAAAAATTATATTGTTTTGTGTATCAGTTTTCTTTCAAAAAAACTCTTTGATAAATGAAATTACATAGAGTACACTGCGGCACACGATTATCAGTATTTCAACTTTTTGTTTAAAAACGAAATTTCCATATACTTTACAAGAAACAGCTTTTTTTTTTTCAACAAAAGTTTTATCTTGATTGACAATCCTATTTCAAATAAATACAGTAACTCGATCTTTGATTCTTGCGAGTCCAAAGATCGTTTTTCTGTTGAGGTCATATCTCAGCCTTCATTATGGACTCTCTCTAATTTACAATCAGTTGTAAAAGAAAAAAGTCACACCAAGGCTCTTTTTTTGGGTCACAGCTGCGAGCCAAGTGTGACATGGCACCAAAGAGCAAAGTAGAAAGACAAAAAAACGAGTCTAGAAGATGTTTCAAACTTTAAGTCTATTTTTAGTAGTCTTTCTTTCGACCGTCTTTTTGAGAATTTGGAAAAAAACAAGGAAAAACATGCTTCTTTGGCCCTTTTGCAGTAAAATTATCTTTCCATTTCTAGAAGATTGGTTTTTTTATAGGTCTTTCATTTTTTTGTAAAACTATCGATTTTGTTCAAAAATAAAGCTTCAAAAATTTGTACGTAACTTTTTGGATCATCTATCGGTTATATAAGCTGTATAGATTTTTGATTTTATATGTGAAATTTCTTCTTGATTCCGTAGGTATTATGATAATTTAACATGACTAAGTAGGAGTTCGTATCAAAAATTCATTTCTAATACTCAAAAGTTATCACAAAGGAAGCGTGAACGCGTTACAAAAAGATCTAAGAATTTTCCAACTATTTTACTAAACTCATTCATTGGATTCTTAGTTGTTTTAAGGTCTATTTCAAAGACTTCGAACTATTGAAACGACTGTTTCTCATCTTTCTTGAACTCGTTTTATTGAAAAACTCTAAAAATTTCGAAATCTTTTTCTTATATTCTCTTTCATTTTTTTGATATTTTTCATGAAGAAAAACTTCGAAAGTAAGGTGATATCCTTCCTTTTCGTGAAAATTTACCTCAATGACATCTCTCGACTTTTTTTAGAATTCTTTATTTAAAAATCTTATTGGCTTTCTTTTGTTACAAACTTATTGCCTTTTTTTCGAATTTTTCGATCCAGGCAAAAAGTAAGGCTTGAAATGTAGAAATATTTGTTTTTTTGTTATAAAGCGATCCAAAAATCTCCTTTCCATGCGATAGTGGGCGTGTCGGGAGAGTGTGACCAAGCCAAAAAAATGTAGGCGTGTCTTTACGGTCTTCATTCTGTTGTCGAAACTCTGTCCCGAGCGGTCGGTCCGAGTTGGGCTTTCCTGCCTCTCCAGGGACTGGGGAAGACCGATTTCCGACATGACGGACTGTTGTTTCTCAGCTTTTTTTCTGTGCTGTTCAACTTTCTTGACAGGCCCTTTTTCGAGCTTTTTTTCTGTTTCGAAGTTTTGCAACTTTTTTTCTCTTATTTTTCAACTCGAGCACAAGTATTAGGCAGAAAAATTGAATTATTTAATTGTGCTTAGTTTCAAACTCTGTAGAATTCGATCCGTATTTTTCTTTTTTTCAAAAATGGTTTTCAGCCATAAATTGAATTGCGAAGGCCTTTCAGTTCTTATTTTCATTGAACATTGCATCAAAGAGATACAAAATATACTTTTTCTCTAACTTTTTATTGTGAAAAAAAGCTCTCCATCTTCGATTCTTTTTTTCTCAATTAATCACTTTTCCAAAGCGCTCTGCAAAAATAGAATTGAGAAGCTTCAAGCCTTGTCACTAGATCCATTTTCTATAATTTGTCATATGAAATTTTGAACTAAACCATATAATTTGAACTCCAAAAAGTTACTACAGCTTGAAATTAATGTATCTTTACTTTTTTTTGAGTCCAAAGATCGTTTTTTTCTGTTGAGGTCATATCTCAGCCTTCATTATGGACACTCTCTAATTTACAATCAGTTGTAAAAGAAAAAAGTCACACCAAGGCTCTTTTTTTGGGTCACAGCTGCGAGCCAAGTGTGACATGGCACCAAAAGAGCAAAGTAGAAGATGTAAAACCGAGTCTAGAAAGATGTTTCAAGTCGTGGTCTATTACTCTAGTCTTCCTTTTTGATTATCCTTTGAGAGCAACATAAAAAAAGATTTTTTTGTTTTTCTCGATTTTCGCGATATTTTTTTGACTTTGAAATTGTTTGCTCTAAGAAAAACAGTAATAATAGGCGAAATTGAGTTTAAAAAGCCTCGACCTCGGAGCTCCAGTTTTTTTGCTGGAAGAGCGTACTGTAGCGCGCATTTGTCTGTGTCGCACTTGCTCATATTACCAATTTTTCGCGGGGCTGCGTCTCTCAGGCGAGAGAACGACAGTTTTTTTTTTCGAAAGTCGCATTTATTTTGCTTCTAACTTTATTTGTCACTCGTTTCGGTGCTTCTCATCGTTTTTTATCTTCTTTTTTTCTTTTTTTCTGAAACAAAAAAGTTTGTAAAAAGTTTTTTCTAAAGTTCTAAAATTTATTTCACCTGTTATAAAAATGTATCGAAAAATTGAAACGATCGTAATTTTCCTAATTTTCTAGTTTTGTAGTTTTTTTTTGAATGAATTTAATTGCTTTCGAAAATTTTTTTATTTTCAGCTCGTTCTAACTTCGGAACCCCCAACGAAAAATGGCCAAAAAACGTAAGTTATTTTTTCTTCATTGCGCTGAATAAAAAGAAAATTTCTCAGAAGGCTCCCCGAAACGTTTCCAACAGAAGACGGCGGCCCAACTCAGTGGGTTTTTTTCCTCCAACCTGTACTCATACTTTCATTTAAAATCTGGAACATAATCAATATTCCAAATATTTCAGATCGTGAAGCCGCTATCATCCGCGAGCAACAGGAGCGAGGTAATTTTCACTCTTTTTTTTAATAATGAAAGCTTCAAAACTTGTTTTTACAAATGAGTCGTTTTCAGCGGACTCACGCCGTGGAGGCCTTCGTCCTCAGGCTTCTCATCCTGCCGGTCCTGGTCCTGCCGGTCCTCGTCCTGCCGGTCCTCGTCCTGCCGGGCCTCGTCCTGCCGGGCCTCGTCCTGCCGCTCCTCGTCCTGCCGCTCCTCGTCCCCCGCAAGCTGCTCCATCAGCTGCTGGTAAATCATCATAATCAGATCTCCTAATTTCAATACAAAAAAATTAGATTAACCACGTCAAAAATTTCCTTGTTTTTTTAAAATTGTTGCAATTCAATCTATTTTTTTCCTGGCATTAGCTGAAAAAAAATGTAACTCTTACTTTTGATAAATTACCGAATTCAGTCGATGAAGTGCAACCGGAAAAACGAAGCTGTCGTTGCTGCGGACGGGCCCGAGGAACCTGCCGTCGATTCTCTCGCCGGCAGGCCCGTTTCTGGCAGCGCCATCGCCAGTAAGTCTCTGCAAGATTCAGAATTTCCATCTCCATTTTTTTGCAAAAGTACCGTTTCAAAATAAGAAAGCTTTACAGCGTTCTTAAATAAAAAGACATTGAGATTTGATTCCAGTAAAAATCAAAGAGTTCAAACTTCAATAAACTATTTGAGAAATCTTCTCGCTGGATGACCGTTTGAATCAATTCAGTAAATATTTATTCAAGTCTGATAGATTTCTCAGCAAAGCTTCATTCAAAATAATTTTTTTTTTGAAAGAATCGAAAAATTTTATTTTCGAGTATGCAAACGGAAGTTTCAGACGTCGCCATGCAAGCGGGAAGCTCTGAAAGCTTGAATTCAAGTGGACCTGCAACCAAACGTCAAAAGCTCGTGGATAAAGCGACTTCGCCGTTTGGTAGGCGTTTCATTTCATCTTTTTCTGGGTTGAGTGTCTTGGGGGAAATTTCTCTTCATCCGTGAATTGGCCTAAAATTGTCAAACTTTGTCAAGTTCGAAAGAATTTTTTTCAGTTGCACCGAAAAGTTTTGATCCGTCGTCGAAGAATGAAGAGCACACCAACCAGTCTCATGATTTGACGCGTCGCGAAGGCGATATTATCGTCCGGATCGCGCCGAATGAGAGCAGTGACAGTGAGATATTCGCACAAGAAACATTGAAACTGAATTTATTCCAGATTCTTCGGCTCCTCCTCCATATATCTATCTAAACGGTGTTCGGTACCGCTGGGCTCCTGTTGCAGTGGAAAATGGGCATGACTCGACGGAATCTACAGGAGAATTTTCGAGCGCTCCTGTCATGGGTGCGTCTGAAAATTTTTTTGTGAATAAACAGAAATAAAAAAGAAATTTGCATTAAGAAGCCAAAAACCGCTATAAATCCGATTCAGCAGTCCAGCTAATTCTGTTTTTTTGCTAGCCATTCAAATTCAAATTTTCTAATAAATAAAGTTGAAAAAGCTGAATTCAGCAAATTTGTGATTTTGAAGACTTTAGAACCACACATTCAAAAGTTCTTCTGGAGAATATCATGTTTCGTGAAACAAATTTCTAAGAATTCTCAAACTTTTGGGCCTGTGTTTTATTCGCAAAGTCTTCAGAGACGATGAACTCCATCGGCGACGGTGTTTCACCTGCCATCGTTTCTCAAGACGACGGCAGACGAAGTTCTGCTTCGTCGGTCGTCACGGCTGGTGAGTTACGCGAAAGTTTTTGAACTAAAGTTTGCATGCGTTAGTTTTTTTTTCCGGAAAAAAGGTAGCACTTGTTTCCACTTTCTAAAATCTGAATGAGTTTTTTATTCTAACATTTCTTTTCTCGTTTAATTTCACAAATTTCGATAAAAAAAAATCTAGCATTTTGAGAAAAAAAGATCATGGTCTTTTTCGACTGAACTTTTCTTTCAAATATGCATATTAATGAGTTTCAGAAGAACCGAGCGCAGTCTCCACGCAGGCGCCACCAACTCAAGCCTCAAACACTTCCGAATTGGTTTCGCCAACCTACGGATGTCAGTTTTACGCGAAATGAATAATATTTCAGAGAATATATTTTGGCAAAATTTTGGAGTTCACTTCAAACGAATTTTCATTGAGCTATGAAAGCCAAACTGATTTTCGGGTTTCAGACACAAACATCAGCGTGGTGCAAGTCTCCTTCACGAGCAATGAGTCGAGAGCCGCGAACTCGGAACCGTCCATCAACAGCTCGACGGCAATTTCGTATGACGTCACTCAAAGAAGCGACAGACCGACCCAAGTCTCGTCGATCTCAATTGGTAGGTTATTCAAAAAACTTGCTCATAATCTAAAGCAGGTGCGCAAAAATGAATATTTTTCAACGAATATCGTGTGATTCAAACTCATCTTGTTCTGTTCAAAACGTATTTTGAATGACACGCGAGGAGATAAATTACTTCGAATTCTCAAGTTTAAATGAACTCGCGGATTTCAGAGCGTGAATTGAACATCAGTGAAGTCAACGGAGAAGTGAGCAACTTGACTGGCACACCGTCGTTCGTTGCCCAGAGCAGCGGCTGGCCCAGCCAAGTGTCCTCGCTCGTTTCGACTTGTGAGTCATTTGAAAAAAATCCAGCGTTTTCATAACAAAAAGCCTCTCGCATAAATTGATTACTTTTCCTAGAAAAATTAACAACCCTCTCCTTTTAAGAAGCTCTTGATTATTTTTCATTTTCATAGTGTGAAACGGTAGTTTGAAGATAGAGAAATATCAATTTTTTTGTGAGAAAATGATTCGAAATAAATGAAATGGATAAAAAAATCAAACAAAAACTGAAATACCCAATTAAAGAGTCGGATTGTTTCCTATTAGTTCGTCTCACTGCCTTTCAAAAAACAAAGATTTTCGAGAATCGAGTTTCAGATTTTCGAACTCCGACGTCGCCGCTCTTGCTCTCCACGCCGGCCGACCAATCTCAACCGATTCCATGTGATCTGACCGTTGAGAACGACGTCTCGCCGGGTTTTTCCCATATTTCCATTCTGTTACCAAGATTCTGCAATTCAGATCACATCGGGCACGTCTCAGTCGATCATGGAAGTGATGGGTTGGCTGGAGAACCTGCCGACGTCTCAAGCGCCGGCAGGCCCAGTCTCCTGTCGATCACAACCGGTATGTTACTCAGAAATTTTAGCATATATTTTCATAAATACAAAAAAAATATCACCTTTCACGAAAATTTCTGGCAGCGGGGCTTTTTTAACAGTTTTGAAACCAATTTTGGTTGTAATGAAGAGGAACTCCAATTATCAGCTCTTCTGAGAATTTACTGACAACCTTTTGGATTGATCCAAACCTAGAGTATTTTTGAAATCGAACTTTCAGACAACGACGCTCCGATCTCGCCATTGGTGACATTCACTCCGATTGAAAGCCTCGACATCGTTCCCCACCTTTTGCACAATCGGAACATCGGTTTGTCTCGTTTTTTCGTCAAGCTCAGATCCAACAGAAGATATCTTTCAGATGAAATGAGTTTAGACTTCAATGAAATCAAAAAAAAAAGCTAGCTTTCTAAAAACAAAAAAGAATTTTCCGTGAAGTGTACCTATTTTTTTATAAATTGATTCCCGTTTCCGAGAAAAAAATACTTTTGAATTTCAGTTCTGAAGCTGATGAATACCTTTTCAGAGCCCCCCCGAGATCCCAACTTGCCCAAGCCAATGCCGACGTTTACCGCCTTTTCTTCGCAGGAGCCGGTTCACTTCACGGTGATGCATAATCGAGGTCTCCCATAGTTTCCATATGAAAGTATCTTCCACATGACCATCGACCAAACATTCAACTTTTGAACAACCCAATTTCTTCTTTGGTTTTAGCACCCTTTTGGATTTTCTCTCATTCATCAACATAAAAGTTCTTATTTTTCAGCTCCTCCGAAAAAAGATGTTTTTCCTTTCATCTAGTTGTTCAATCGTGTTCAAACTTTGAGAGAAAAATTGTCTTCTTCTGAAAAATATTATAGATTTTTCATGTCTTTCATTTAGCTTCTCAATTTTTCTTCAAACGGTTTTTCCATAATCCTTTTATTTATGAACTTTTCAGAGAATCGAGAGGAAATCGGAACCGATATCGCAGAACTCCGTTCTCCTGGACCTCGTCGAGCTTCTCCCTTGAACCCGACTTTCGGTGAGAATTTCCTCTCAGATAGTTCCGCTGTTCTTAATGAAGATACATGAACAAGCGCATTATTTTTGTGACATAAAACAACTGTTTTAATTCTAAAAAAATAAAAACAATGTTCAGCAGGAAAAAAAGCAGGAAATAAGAAGTTTAATTCAATTAAAACTACTTCTAAATCGTGATTTCGTTGAACCTTTGTTCTAATAAAAAAAGGAAGGACACGTCAGAATAGTAAATTTTCATTTTACAACAGATAGTCGGATTAAGACAATTCAAAAAAAGTTCATATGGGTAGTCAACATCAAGAGTTCCATGGAAAATTTCAGAAATTTTGAGAAGACGAAAGAAAATCTCAGAAGAAACTGTCTTCTTCATTTTTTGTTGAATTATTGGTTTTTGTTCGCATTCTAATCATTTAAATCTTTTTGCTTTTCTTGCTAAGCTTGAAAAGCATGTTTCGAGTTGTAGAAAAAACCGTATATCAAGATTTTATATTTCTCCACAGGGATGAGTCCGACTTCTCAAGACAATCTGCACTCGGTTCGGATTCCGTTCCCTTCGCCCTTGGCGTCGAATGAACCTGAGACGGTGGCTGAAAATGGCACCGCGGAGGTATTTCTTTAGATTCAAAAATTCTTTTCGAGAAAAATAATTCAAATCTTCTCGGAGTTCAGGAAATGATGAAGACCTGTCGTTTCATTTCCTTCGATATCCGTTTCTAAAAACCGAATATGAAAGTTTTTCTGTGTGAGAAGTATGACCTGAGCTCAGAGAACAGTTGTGATTCAGGCTCATTTCTTCGAAAATGAAAAATGTTCGTGGCAAAGTGGATCATGTCGAAAAAGGGATTAAAAAAAAGCAAAACTTGTTTTTTCTCCTTGTTTCCAAACACTGTAGTCGTTTCTCATCCGAAATCTCCTGGGAAACTAGATGAGAAAAAAAAAGGACTTTTTCCCATCAAAACGCCCAGTCTATTTCTATCCAATATCCGTCTTCATGATTCACTTCAGGCCGATCCTGTGGCGGCAGAGAGCGTCGACCCCGAGGCGGGAAATTCCAAGGATTAGGTATAATTCCACAAATGTTTCCTCCAAATTTCAAGCTTTTCAGGCGATCCTTCTCGAGCTCCATCATCTCAAAATTTTTTGGCTTTTTTCATCTTTTCTGCGTCCAACTCATTAATGAACTTGGCCCTGATCTGTACTATTCCTTCGCCGGCCGCGTGCCAATTTCTTTTTCTTTCGTAACTATTTTGTCTTTTTTTCGCCAAGATCGTTGGATCGTAAAATTTTTCTCTAGGTGCGTTTTGAGTTACTACAAAAAAAGAACATTGCAAAACGACAACAATAAAAAAGAAATGTCGGAAATTAAAAGAGATGTTTCCATCAAAATGCAGTCGTTTTTCTTGGAAGTCGTTGGACACTGAACTTCTTGAACCGTCGGTGGCTGCCATGAACTACAAGACTTCTTTCAAATATGAACATGAAGTAAAAAAAACTTCGGAAAAAGCAACGATTAATCGACAAAATGGGAAGTTAGACTGATTTCGACAATCTTTGTGAAAAAAATCATCAAATGAGCAAAATGACATTCAAAAAACAGTCGTCAGCAAACAATATAGTGTGCCTTCAAACTTCAAATTGCATCTAATTATCATAAACGTCAAAACATGAAATATTTTTTTCGCACTTTTACAGTTTCAATTTTCTAAAGCGTTTAATTGAAGTATGAAAAGACCATTTTTATTGTGACGTCAACCAGCTCCGCCTATTCTTTTTCAGAGAGCAAACTTCCGAGCGAATTCAAGACACTGAAGGAATTCTTACAGTCTTTCTTATCGAATGATCGATTTCGAACATGTCTTTTCTTCACCACAGTTTTATTTTCATGCTTTATTAGGAATGAACAATTTATTTGACTGAAGCAAAAGGCACACATCAATAATGCAAACTATGACACGCGCAAGCGCTTCGATTGCACAATTTCAGGCTCTCATTTTCTCTGAACAAGCATCTTAAAAATGAGGATGAATTTGGAGTGCAAATTGAATCACAAACTTACTCTTCTAGTGATTTTGGGGACTGTTTGATAGTGCAAGGACGTCTGCAACGATTGGCAGAACGTACGCGTTATTTCGGAAAAAAAAATAATGAACTTTGAATTATTGATCAATGCTTTTCACCGCTTGTATAAGCTAGTATTTTGTTACCGCGAATCAGTTTCATGATGTTAACAAAGCCGAAGACGGTCAGCAGAGTCGCTGATGTCGAGGAGAAGGAGCTTTATGAACCCTTCAAACACATAATTTAAAAAAGTTCAGATAAATCTGAGAGATAACGAAGAAACGTTTTGCTAAGAAACGTTCCATATTAGTCGAGGAAACGTTTCCAAAAACAAGCAATAAAGACCAACTTGACAATTTTTAAAATAGTGATACAATTCGGTGTTCCTCGCCAACAAATGAAAACGAAATGAGGAGAAATGACTTTAAAATAAAAACAAAACGTGAGAAAGTTGAGGAAATTTTTTTATGAACTGTGTAATGGTGAAAAAAATATGGAACACAACAAGAAAAACCAAAAATATTTTTCGATAACAATATTTTTTTTCAAATAAAACCACGACAATTATTGAAATATTGTTATGGTGGTGCCGAGTGTATGCCAAAAATTTCTCACAAACAAAATAAATCAGATTAACGTCTGATGAATCAATGTGGAAGGAAAAAAACGAGTTTGAGGCAAAAAAATATTGTGATATTGTTCAGCACAGGTCATCACAGATCACAGACGATAAATTGAAGTTTAGTAGAATACCGCTTTATCGCAATGAGAGTACAACAAATCAACCAGGGTTTCTGCGTTTTTCTGAGCCTCGAGCTACAATTTGCAATCAAAAAAGGTTGTTCTAGCTCTTTTCATATGAGCTGACATCTTTGAAAATCGAAAAAAAATTTCTAAGGCTCTTTATTATGAAAAAGAAAAATTATCTCCTGGTGTTGCACTTTCATTTTTCAACCTGCTATTTTTCCTCTCCAAACTCTTGTTTTCTTTTTTTTTCACCTCTTCATTGGTCTCTTTCTTTTGGAGTACATTGATTTATTCTCGAATATAAACAGACATGATTTACAAAATGAAAGGAATCAAGGCTTTGCGTTCCGTCGGATATTCGCCCTTGAACTTGTTGAGATACCACCTGAAAAAAATTTCAATTTTTTTGTGCTTTTTTTGGTTCGTAATAATAAAAAGGAGAATTGTAACTCACTGGTGATGATGAATCGCTCTGGGGCCGATGTTGCAAATGGTGAAGATGGCAAAAGCGACGGCTGGAAGGCTCTGAGCGGCCAAGGCATAACCAGTCCATTCCACGATCTCGCCAAGGTAGTTGGCTCCAGAAACATACTCGAACATTCCACCTGTAACCGGTTGATAAAATTGCATCCTATCATTAAAATTTTCTCACCACGAGGAATTTTGTAGCCGGTTTCTCCAGGCTCTCTCAAGTTCAGCAAGATATTGTCGGCTTGGATGTTCATGTGCATTCCTTTGAAGAAGATGAGGATGCCTGAAAATGTTTTAAAATGAAAATCATAGCCTTTATCTGAATTTAAATTTCACTGTGTACTGAATGAAGGTAATTGGACTTATTTCGCAAAGTAATCGAAAAAAATACGTGTAAAACTTGATTTAGACGCTGAACCTTGATTCAAGGTTTCTTTTCCCATTGAAATTATTCAAAAAAAAAAAAAAAGTACTAAGCTTGGTACTAATATATATCAAAAATTTTTGATCATGGAGCACCTAGAAAAACTTTTTTTCAAAGTTTACTTGAGGGGAATTAGGGACATCTAACGGAAACTAGTCAAGTTTCTTTAGAAGGTGAATTTACATATTTATAACAAAAACCTTATTTATTACCCTACGCATTTCGTTCAGAAAGCAAAGTGCTTCAATTCAAAAATCCAGAAAAAAGTCCTCACCGAGAAGAGAAAGGAAGAACCAAGGGACAGTGACTTCAGTGTAAGACGGCTGGAATTGGGAGTTCCAGGCGCCTTGGATGTAGCCGTTCCAGCAGCAGAAGGCAATTGCGCTCAAGGAAATGTACCAAGGCGTTCCGTTTTTGGTTCGCAGTTTGAACGGGTAGATGAAGGTTCTGCAATAGATTTTTCATTTAGAATAAAACTTTGATTAGCTCAAAAACATAGAAAAGATTGTAAAGTCACCGATTGGCGTAGTGAACCAAGAAAAGAGCAAGGAGAAGAGCGCCATAGGTGTTCTGCGTGTGATAAATCAGAAAGTACAACGGGATAAAGAACGATGGGCCTTCTTGGACGACCCATGAAACCGTTGCGGGAACCATCAACTGAAATAAACTATGTTTGAAAGGGGAAAATCCTATCTTTCTGAAAAAAACAGGTGCGAAGTGCGCGAAATTTTGAGCTGACTAGGGAACGTTTTTTGGTCCCCCCCCCTTCTTGAACTCGAAACTTGCTGAAATGTACTTTAAAACGTTTACATTACAGACCAAAAACAATTTTTTGCGCCACATCTTTTTCCGATTCATGGAGATTCAATGTTTGCAAAATACGCAATTTATGATTAAAAAACCGTCATTTGCGTCTTAGTTTAAAAACAGAATTCATTGCAAGGAACTGTTTTTGTACTGGAATCAAGAGGTTTCAAAGTATGTTTCAGCGGAATTTCATTAAAAGTTCAGCGGGCTAAACAACTTCCCCGAGTTGGAAACTCAATTATTGCAATTTTCACATCCAACAAGTCCAAATTTGTTTAAACTAACCGTGCTTTGCTCTGTGTAGCGTCCATATGAGGCTTTCTGCCCAGAGAGAAGGACGGCGCAGACGATCAATCCGGTCACAATCATCAGAACCGACAGGATCGTCACGAGATCCCAGGTTAAATTTGAAAATAAGAAGTTCATTGTTATCTGAAAAAAATAAGTTAACTGATTGATCTGAAAAACTTAAAAAAAAAACGGAAAAAATACGCCACAAGCCATGAGTTACGTTTTAAAAGCGGCAACAGGTAGGCTTCTCCACAACACCAAACGCAGGTAAACATTGTTGAGAATGAAAAAAGTTTAAAATGAAAATTATTTGCAACAGTGCTCAGGATGAGAAAAATTAGTAAGTGGTCAACGATACCGCTCAACTCCGAAATGTTCTCAATTTAATCTATTGTTTTGGTTTTTACGGGTTCATATAAAAAGCTCAAAACGTTATTAATCTCCTGATACACATTTGAATAGATAATCAGTTCAAATTTGTGTGTAACTATAAGGCTAATGACTATAAAAAATTTTTGAATTTAAAAAGTTTGATTGGAAGTTGAATGAAGGTTTAACATTCATCAATTACGTCTTGAAGCATGCTGAAAATGAGAAAATGGCAGTACATGAGAGTGCAAACGGAGTAACAACAATGTCTGCGTTTCTCAGCAATCCCCCGATCTCTAATTTTCGTCAACAACAATTTTTTATCGCTCTGCTAGCGTTTCGTTGCTTGCCGATTTCAATGATCATGAGTTCAAAGAGAACGGGAAAGAAACCTGAAAAATGAAGAATTAATAGAGATAGGGAATTTTAAATTTTGCACTAAATTACTTCTTGCAAACTTCGTTGTGGATTTTTTCATCAATATGATGTTTTGAGAAAAAATGAGAAAAAATCGTGAAAAACAAATGAAGCGTCTTGATATCCACAAAAATAACAAGAATTCAACAAACGAGGATCCCAGGCCAATAAAAAAAACGGAAAATAAGAAGATAGGTGTGGGAGAAATACGCGAAGGGAAGAAGACAACAACCCGATGCAGTAGATTTGACCTCCGCATTATTGACTGTCGAGAAGAATACGGCGCGAATAGCGGTTGTCGTCGCCCAAAAAGAGCAAAAAAACAAACTACCAACATCCCCTATATTGACTCGCGCACGAGTCACGTGAGCTGTTTCACTACAACGTAAACAAAACTGAATATTCTAGTTGTTTCACTACACAGTTTATACTGAAAAAGGCTAAAAAATTTGCCATCGAAAAATTTTTTTTGCTAAAAAAATTTTGAAAAAAATTTATCTCAATTTTTTTAATAAAAAAAGAAATTTCTTTGAAAAAAAGCCCTTTTTACGCTATTCTCTTGCGTTATTCTTGCTATGACAGGACAGAAAATTAAAAGGACGATCTCAAAAGAACGCAGAAAAAAGAGAGGACGTTCGGAAAAAAAAGGAATGCGAAGAGCCACAAAGCCAGGCGGATTCACTTTGAAGTCTTTGTGAGATTCGGTTTGGTTGTTTGAAGCGAACATGAGGCCAAAGATTTTGGGATCCAAGTCTTCGAGAACTTTCTCAAAATTTCAAGCAAACTTTTTTTTTCTCACTCAGCAGAAATGACTTTTCAAAAAGGTCTTTGATATACATAGATAAGAAATTTCATTTTTCTTCTATTAGTACAAAATAAAAAAAAAAGAAGAGGCAAAAACTTTTACTCGGGAAAGAGGTCGGTTCAAATAACTTCAGGTTTCCTATGAACAGGGAATCCACCTGATTCAAAGATATTTTTCGTACCGCAGAAGCATTTTTCTCTTGAACTTTTCAGTTATCGTTCAAAAAAATGTCATTTGAAAATTTAATGCGCAAACTCCGATATAAATTCTTTGATAATTCCAGAAGAGACCACTTTTTTTTTGAAATTTTCGTTTTTTTCGCTTGTCGCATGGTTTGAAAATAAAATTGCTTGATTCAAAATGACTTAAAAATGCTGTGGCCTCCTACTCACTTGAGTGTTGATTTAAAATCAAAAAGAAAAGCTAAAGTTCCAAAAAAAGAAAAAAGATGAGCCCTGACCCAGGGTGAGTCTATAATTATGACCCGGTCAAAAAATTATTTTTGACGAATTTCGAAATTTTTTTGCACTCAGTTTTCTGTAGTTCTCTTTCCAATGATAGTTATTTCAACTGAGGTTTATAACAAAATAGGTTGAATTGCAGAATGTTAAACATATCTGTTGAAAACTGCAAAAATGGGGGTGCGTCTTTAGCTATGACGCGCAGTGTATAGAAAGTCAAACGGCTGACTATGAAAGCTTCCTGGTCCATCAAAAAAAAAAATCAGTCTCTATGAAAATGTCAAAAATCGTCCAACCGTCCTCTTTGTCTTCATAAAACCTTTTGCAACAAAAAAAGATAATCTGGATACTTGGAAAAGTCTCAAAGAGAAGTTGACCGCTTTAGAAGAAGAATACGCGTATAAAAAGATTGCTTTCAATTTTTTTTTGAATGTGTTCTCCGAAACGATTTTTTATTTCTTGAAAGTTGTTCTGTTTGAAACTCAAATACACAAAGTTAGAAATCAGAGACGAAGTTTGAGAAGAGTTGAATGCAAACATTCACAATGGCGGATTTGCTTTGAACTCATTGTGAATGGAAGTTCCTATTGTTTCTAGGGAACAAACTTCTGCACGTTTTTCAACTTTGAAATATCTTCTCTGACTTCTCTGTACCTAAAAATGCTGTTTCTCTCAAAAAAGTTTGAAATTGCAACAAAAAGCTCAATTACGTTGAAATTATATCGCTTTCGACAAAAACTGCGGAAAAGTATACCTCTAGACTAAGAGTCACGAATGTACGATTAGGACAGAAAATGTTGCGCCAAAGATAATGAAGTGAGCGGCCGAATGCCAATTTTTATCAGTTTATTCTGAACTCCTTGCAATACGGCTTGCGCTACTGTTATCTAAGAAAATTTAAGTTCTATAAATTGGAAACAGATTTGATTGAAAATCATGTACAACATAATTAAGCAGGTAAACAGATTTTCTAAAAAAGAGTTGAGTCATGCTTCGATATTTCGCAATTCCCTACATAACGGGTTCAATTGTGTCTAATTTGATCGAAATTTTTTTACCGGTTATTCTAAGACGTTCATGTCATAAAAATACAAATCGTAGGACTGAAAGCTGCTTTTAACGAAGTTTTAAGGTATTCAAGGCTATTAAGATTTCAAAATCCTAAGAAAGGATTTTCTAAAAAAAAAACTCTCAGCATCTTAATCCTTAAAAAACTGGTTCGAATTGAAAATAAATCAGAGAAAACACCTTGAAATCTTCGAAAAACCTTGAAAAAACTTTTGAGCGCGCAGCGTGCCTTTTTCATGGCCAAGAGTTGAAATTTTGAACGAGCATTGCACAAATTGCTGTGTTTTGAAATCTATACGTATCATACAAAAAAATTGCCGATTCTGGAAAAATGCGAGATCGGTAGCGATATAATGCGTTCCGCGTGAATTTTTTAAAAGGACAGAGAAGAAAAAGCTACCTTGACTGCAAAATTTCGCTTTAAAAATTGCTGGAAAAACCGCAAAAAACAAAGGTCTTGAAGCGAAAATGCTCAATTCCAATTTAACTTGGTATAAGGTTTTTGTTGGGAAAAAAAAAGAGACAAGATGGCGCGGAATGGGCTATACATTGACAGAAACTCGCAATCATGTCGCTCTGTTCTCGCGCGGATGTCGCGTTTTTACAAGGCGCAACCTCGCATTTTTTCTTGCTTTTCGCACGCGCTCGGAATATATTTAAAAATTTCCAAATGCGAAGTCGCGTATAGTAGAATGCGAGATCCGACCGCGGACAGAGAAACATGTTTGCAGGTTCTTTTATGTACCACTAGAAATCTTGCTTTTATCTTGTCAGCTACTCTTAGTGATAATATGTCGGGAAAAGGTCGGAATCCGTGGGTCTTGACGCGATGATCTTTATACAGGCCTTTTAATTTTGCTCTTGCATAGGCCTAAAAACAAGATTTTTTTCAAAAGTTATTTCTTCAAATGCGTCCTGCGCACTACACGAAGATATTCCATAGGCAAAGTCGGAAGGACCCTTTATAGACCATGAGCGTCCGTTATTGGTGCAAAAGGTTTCCATTAATTGTTCCTAAATGGGTGACAATGGTTTCCTTTTTTCTGCCCTTTCCCGTCCTTTCATCGGCTTTCATTTACCCTTTTTAGATCCTTTTGAGAAACACAACATTTTTCAAAAGGGGAATAATCTTTACCAGGTATGGACCAAAATGGGCAACAGTGATACAATAATGTCTTTTTTATGACAGTGAATAAACTATTATTATTATTAATCGGAAATCATGGCCAAGACTTTGAAGCACCCTTTTTGCACCCTCATTCTTCCTTCACCCTTTTTGCGGCCTTTCTTGTTTCTCACTTTTTTTCAAGGTTTTTAGCCTACCAAGAAAGAAAGGCTTAATAAAGACCACAAAATGAAACCCTTTTAGGGGTCATTGTGCAGTCACTCTCATTTTGCATTCTTTGCATTCGTTTTCCACACTTCCGACTGATATTTTTGTTCCTATCTTTGATCGATTCGCTACCAATCGCAATTTGAGGAAATACAGGGGTGGGAATAAATATTGCACGTCCTTTAAAAATTCCGTTACTCTCAAGTAGAACGGATTATTATTATTATTATTATTATTATTATTATTATCTCATTTCTTCGCGTGGAGTGGTCGGTTAATTTGATCGCTCTCGCAAAGAGATACTAATCCGTCGTCTGCAAGCCCTGGACAAGCCTGACGCCGTACTGCTCCACCATGGTGAAGACTCTTCTCGTTGGAACGCTGAACGTCAGATCGCTTCTCACCAACGAACGACTCGCCGCACTCGAAAACGCAATCAGGGAAGTGAATTTTTGATATTATCGGCCTCTGCGAAGTTCGCCGGGCTGGTACTGGTAGCCTTGTGCTTAACGACACCCAGCACACCCTCTACTACCATGGGACGGCATCTCAAGCCGGTGTAGGGTTCCTCGTTCATAAAAGCTTGGCAGCCAACGTCGATTTCACTCCTGTTAGCGATCGACTTGCGTACCTAGACCTTAAACTCAAAAAGGAACGGGTAAGAGTCATCCAAGTGTATGCGCCAACCACGTCTTACGCCGATGAGGCTTTTTTTCCAGCTGCCTAGAGGACTTAGAGCAGGCTCTGAGTCGAATCCAACGTCGTGATCGGCACCCGGGGGCGGATTCTTCTTATTCCTTGACTCTAGGGGACTTCAATGCCAAAGTCGGCTCAAAAAAACATCAACCGAATCCTCTCTCGGTAGCCATGGCATAGGAGTCCGTAATGATCGTGGTAACACACTTGTTGATTTCTGTGAGGCAAACGGATTGAGAATCTGGAACACGTACTTCAAAAAACGTGGAACCAGAAAATGGACTTGGAAATCTCCCGATGGCGTCACGAAGAACTGCATTGATTACGTTATTGCGGATCGTCGTTGCCCTATCTACGACGTGGACGTCATCGCGAATCTTCATTTTGACACCGACCATCGTCTCGTTCGAGCAAAAATGAAGATAGTTTCCCGCCACGTCAACAAACGCGCAACCTCAAAGCGTGTTTTCGACAAGCCACTATTTTCGTATGCCGTAGAACGACTCTTCAATCAAAACTCTCCTGAAACTTACGAGTGTTTGAAGAAAGTCTTTAGTGAAGCTTCGACCATCGCGACTACCTATGAGCCGATTCCTTCTCGGTTTTCGGCAAGAACTGAAAAACTCTTTCTGAAGCGTCAAGAACTCCAGTCGCAAACTCATACACCTTCTGGTCGGATCGAGTTTTGCATGACGAACAAGGCCCTTCGGGTTTCGATCAAGAACGACACCGAGATGAACCTACATAACAAGATCGATAGAGCAATCAAGAAACATCGGAGTGTTCGAAAAGCATTGAGAAAATCCAAAGTTTGCTCAATCGCTTTGACCCAACTCCAGCGGGTTGATGGAACGATCGCCGCTTCAAAAGAAGATGTTGCAAAGACGGTCCAAGCATTCTACAACTCTTTGTATGCTGCACAACAAAGCTCTCCGGCAATCATCGCGCCATCCCAAGATGACCTTCCGTCTATTTTGCCGAGCGAGATTCGTACTGCTTTGCGCAAAGCAAAACGAGGGAAAGCCCCTGGACCTGACTTCATAACGCTGGAGATGCTCCTAGCTGCCGAAGAAAATGCAGTCCCGATTCTTGCGAGTATCTACAACGAATGTCTCAAAAACGAGAGAACTCCGACTTCGATGTCAGACTCAATAGTCCGCCTACTTCACAAGAAAGGGAGCTGCCTTGACATCGGAAACTACCGACCTGTAGCCTTGATGTCGACTATCCACAAAATCTTCACTTCCATCCTAAGAAGACGGGCAGAACGGTCTCTGGAAGAAGCACAACCTATCGAACAAACGGGATTCCGACCTGGATACTCGACCTCAGAAAACACACTGGTCGTCTCCGAAATGATCCAGAAGTCACACGAATACCGCTTCCCGTTATTTTTGATGTTCATCGATTATAAGAAGGCGTTCGATAGCGTGGAATTCGGATCCCTTTGGACGGCTCTAAGCGAATTTGGCGTTCATTCGAAAATAGTTAACACGCTCAAGAACATCTACGACGAAGCGAAAGTGTCTGTCCGAATCCGCGGGCACGACGTCCCAGTACAAATTGGAAGAGGCGTGCGGCAAGGCGACACTATTTCGCCCAACCTTTTCAACGCTACTCTTGAGCATGTATTTCGAAGACTCGACTGGAGTGAACATGGGATCTCCGTTAACGGGACGCCTCTCACACACCTCCGGTTTGCTGACGACATCGTTTTGTTCGCTTCAAGTTCGAAGAAATTAGAAGAAATGGCAAACCAACTAGCCACTGAGAGCAAGAAATCTGGCTTGATCATCAATTTCTCGAAAACGTATATCATGTCAAACCGAGCGAAGAGAAGAGTGGAAGTAGACGGAAAAGAAGTATCATATGTTGACCAGTTCACATATCTCGGAACGCATCTTCATTTCGCGGAAGGTTTCAAAACGGAACTACTCCGCAGAATCCAATCCGCATGGGCAGTTTTCCACAAGTTTTCTATATATCTGACGAAGAAAACAACACCTCTCAAGAAAAAAGTCAAAATATACCAAGCTTGTATAGAACCTGCGCTCTTATACGGATCAGAAGTCTGGACCCTCAAGAAAACAGAGATGAACATGTTAGCCACAGCACAGAGGAAGATGATGAGAAGAATGCTTGGTGTGACTCTAATGGATAGAAGATCAAACAGTTGGCTCCACGAAAGATTGAAGATGCGTGATGCTCGAATGGTTGCAACAAGAAGAAAAATGGTTCTTCGCAAAGAAAAATCGTGACGGGAGAAGAAACGTGGGCAAAGAAGATCGTAGAATGGCGGCCCTGGGAGAAGAAAAGATCTGTTGGACGACCACGAGCACGTTGGCGAGATGACTTCCGAAGCGTTCTTGGGGAGAATTGGTCGACCGTTGCGCGCAACAACAAGGAGCTCTTCAAATCTACCATGATTCAGCAGAGCCTTTTTGATTACTCTGATGTCTGAATAAATTAAAAATTAAATTAAATTAGAACGGATTCAGACAAAATAGTCTGAAATTTTTTATCGGTATCTGAACGGAATTTTTTAGGTGCTTTGCCGTGTTCCTCGAACTTTGTTTATTCCTCCACCTCGAATCACTTGTTTTTGAGAAGTTACGACCCTGCGTTGAGCGCCAAATTTTGAATACATGAGTGAGCATTCCCATGAGCGCCGCGCCGGTCGGCAGAATAGTCTTTTGATTGCCGCTCAACCAGCTCACTCGTACTTTTCGACGTGATTTTCCCACGTTTCTAGATGAAATTCAAACTCGAGCTGCAAAACATCTATGAAGAACGATCAAGAATCGTTTTTGTTTTATTTTTGCAGCGCGACTCTACTAATGGAAACTTTTGAAAAGGATTTTTGCTATTTTTGCATTCACTTTTAATTAAAATGTTTAAAGTAACTCCTAAGAAATTCCCAAAATATCTGAACAATCGCGCTCTGGTGGCTTTGATAGTCCTCAAAGGCTTTAAATCTTCGAGTCGTACAGTTCTCGAGAGAAAGAGTCACATCGATGAAAAAAGTCGTCTGTTGAACAAATGTCGTTCAGAAATGAGTCGTACGATTGCATCTGCGCGACTTTTTCAGAAAAAAGGACGATGATGGAAAGAGTGCTGAGATGGCACCTGGGGCCGCTCTGCTCCCTGCCTTTCTTTGCCCTTTTTCAGACGTTCCCTCGCTCGCTGTAAGACGGTCCCAGCAGCGAAGGGGCCCTTTCTTTGGCATTCAGGCCAAGTTCTTTGTATCCTGTTTCAACCCGAAAACTTCGTTCAAAACCCATTCGAAACGAAACAAGGTTTCTGTTCAAAAACTGTAGCAAAGTGTAAAGATATAAGCCAGTTTTCACAGCCTCGTATTTGTGAAATCTTTTGAAGGACCACAAAGTAGAGCTCTAATTTTTTAGAAGCAGCGCTTCAAAACTTGAAGACATTTAAAATGTAGATGAAAATTCAGCCATGGCTATCTACGAAATCAATTTTTGGTCACTGAAGACTCAATGGACTTGAATTTCAAGAATCTGATGAAGTTGAAAACTGAAAATGAGAAGTTCATGGAAAGCGTTATTTTGCCTTTCAGCCCACTCTTTGACGGTTGATCGTTTTCCACGCGACGAGGAAGGCAGCAAGGCGCGTTGTCCTGTTTACGGCGCTTGGTTCTCATTCTAAGTTTTCCATCCGAAATTATTAATGGAAACAACGCGAATTTCAATTTTGATCTTTTTTTTCGGTTAGGACGCTTCAAAAATCCGAAATTTTTCGTAACAATTCGCGTATCTTGCGGACTTTGAAGCTCAATAACTAAAAACAAGATCTATTGGAAGAAGTTTTTATCTTGTTCTGCTATCAGGAAGTTCAAAAGTACACTTGAGCCAAGTTTCATCAAAAGTTCAACCGGAGGGTGAAAAACGTTCCCTAATTAAAAAACACTGTTTCACACCATTTCCTTAAATATGAAATACTAATCTTGTGAAAAAGGACAAGTGCCAAGATTGCATCTTTAGTTCAATCATCTTATCCTAACTATTTTATAAGTACAGGCTCATAAAATAAGCTTTAATGAAATCAAACCGTTTAGTGCAGCGTTTTTCATTCATGTATCGAGTGCATTTTTTTGTAAAACTTTTCGAGTAGTCAAAATTTCCAACTGATCCAATATAGAAATTTAAATCTTCGGTTAAAAATCTTTGTATTTTTCGAGACAGTCGCTTGCTTGCTATGAGGCGGTCAACGCTGCAAAGAATTACTCTTTTTTAACCTTTCAGACCAATTTTTTTCGCCAGAATCTGAAATTTTCAGAGCGCAAAAATTCGCAAGAATTTAGAACTTTTCTTATGTAGGCTCTAACTTGCATCAGTTTTTTCCTCAAAAACACAATGAGTACTTGAAAAGGCAAACTTTTGCCGGTCATGACGTGACTGTATCTATAATTTTTAGTTTGATCAGGAAGAAAATCCGTAATTAAAAAAACTTAATCCTTTGTGGTTTCGAAAGCATGTGTGAACCCACGCTGATAAACTGAGTGGGCGGTTTTTGGCACACAGAATCAAAATCGCTTGTTTCACGGTTTCACCCCGAAAACTCTATAGTTGAACTTTGAAACTCAATTTGAACGATGTTGATGGAAAACAAACCGTTTTTAGAGTTTCTCAGGATAAAAAAAGACAAAAAAAAGGTAGGGAATCGCGGTCCCGCCTTTGTTCGGTTGTTTTGCAAGGTTCCTTCGCTCGCTGTCAGACGGTCCCTGCAGCCAGGCCCTTTGCTCTGTTTACGTCGTTTTGCCAATCCCACAGTTTTCGATTACAAAACGTTTGAATCCGAATTTCAACTTGTACGACGGCTTCTTTGAGAAAAATGTCTTCCTCTACAATTTTTGAAATCTTAAGCACTTATACTGCGTAAAACAGTCCCCTCGAGTCGTGAACATTTTACTGTGTTTTCACATCTCTCCTCAATTATTAAAAAGATCGTAGCTTCTTAACTTAGGAGTTTGATCGTAATATTGATTGATGCATTGATTGGAATATCTTCAGAATTCAAAAAAAAGGGTCATATGGTTTACGCGCCCTAATTTGGGCCCGCCCATCGAGAACTCCGCCTCTTCCTAGTCGTATTGCGCCGTTCAGTCACTTGCTGAAAGGCAGTCGCGCCACCGAACTTCTGCCTCCCTGGACCTTCAGTTTTCTTCTCCATCCACAGTTCCCCAATCATCCCGCTAACCCCAAGTTCCCTCGCACAGTAGTAAGCTCGATAAAAAATGGAATCAAATCATTTCTGTATCATAAACCGCGCCTGCCGCCTTTTGGTCTTTGAAAATTTTCCGAAAGCTTTATTAGACAAAAACACAAGTTCGTACAATAAACTTGAAACTTTGTGATATAATCTCACCTGTCTAAATGTCGAAAATGACATACCTTTCCACATAATTATACACAGCTCCCCATGAGAAAGTCTTCTCAGATTGACGTCAGAGAGCTTTGATCCAAGTTATGCACTTTTTTCAACGCGTTTTGAACTTATCACAAAAAGAAGATTTTTTCATTCAAACTCAAGTAAGCAATTTCGAAATATCCCTCCCTTCTCTCTTATTGGTTATCTGACTTTTTCGTGTTATTCATCTTTGAAAGAAAGAAACAATCAGAATTTTACAGATCTTCTCTCGAGCGAAACATGGAACGCGTCGGTAATTATTATTACGTGAAAGATGTGAGTTTTCACGATTTCGACTCCTAAAGAAACAATCTGAGCCTCCGTGTCTCACATCAGCGCAATATACCGTTAACATGCACATTTAAGAGCATTTTGACAATTGATGAGTAATAAAAAAAACGCAGACAGCCTTTGCCCTTGTCACTGAAGTGAAGCTAATTTGATTTGAGTTTACAGGGGCACGTCGTCACGGCGATCTTCATGGCCTTCCCGCACTCTGAGCGCCTTCGCGCCGGTCGTCTTGAGGTGCTGCTCATTGTTCACCAAGTCCCGTCGAAAAAAATTTTTAATGGGAAAACAGTCCAGCTCCCAGTTTTGGTTCCTTTAAAAAATCGAATTTTCAACTAAACTGTGAGAAAAACCCAGAAAAATAATAGCCTGATGGTTGAAAAAAAAGATGAAAACCGAGATTATTTTGTAGTTTCAAATGAGTTGAACCACGATACGCATTTAATGAGAATTTTTAGCCCAAAATCAAAACCGAAATTGATCAAGAAATACCAGCTAAATTTTCATTCAAATACTTTTTTACAGCACCCGCACAATCCCGTTGCCATCTGCCTTCCTGCGGTACATAACAATTTTCATGCTTTTCCCAACGTTTGAAGTTTTCAGTACGAAGTTCGCGCCGTTCTGAACGCTGCTATCCGCAAGGTCTGCTCGACTCCGCTTCCTCCGATCACCTCGCCAACCTACGCTCCGGTCAGTTGTTGGAAGTTGTTTTCAGTAGAAAGATGAGATGATCGTTTCAGATGATGCTCATGGCCATCAAGATCATCTTCTCCTTGAAGATCTTCGAGCAGAACGAGGCTCGCCGAATCCAAGAACAGGAATTGGAAGGCTGAAAGGGACACTGTGCGTATCTGCTACTGTTAACCATATATAACCACCGTAACCATATATAACCACCGTAACCATATATAACCACCGTAGCCATGTATAACCACCGTAGCCATGTATAACCGTCGTACCCATGAATAAACGTAACTTGCTTAATTCTGTTAGCATTATTACAAGAAAAAGTATAACTTATCCGACAGGAATCGAGGATTTTTACTATTCAGAGTTTGAAAAGACACTGGAAAAGTAAAAGCTAAGAAGCTTAGAAACAAAGAATAAGAAGAAGAGAAAGAGGTTAGAACCAGTCATTTAATGAATCGTTTTGATGTTGAGAAAAAAAGCGATTTTTGGTGTGTCTAGAAAAGTTATTCATTTTCTCTTGAATAAAACACTCAAGGTCCCGTTTGCTTTCTTAAAAGAATGGTAGAGCTTAGACTGGTCAAAAACCTGTTTCGAAATTTCTTCCACTCGTTCCTCGGGTATTCCTTGCAAAAACGAAAGAGACTCTCTTGTAAATACTAATGATGTGTTCATCGGACAAAACAAAAGTTATTACTGTTTTGGAGCAGCTTTGGTGGACCAATGAACACGCTTGTGCGTTTTGAAGCATGTTCCGTTTCTACGATAAGCAAGCCATAAGATTTGCCAAGAAAGAAGTTTTCGGGCCTGTGAACGCAAACGGAAAAAGATTCAAATCTCAAGGCGTTCGTTGATTTGTTTGTACAGTGCCATTAATCGTGTGAAGAAATTCATCGACGTATCAACACAAATTTTCCTTTTCGTCCAAAACAATTTTTTTGACCCGAATCTTTTATCAGTATCAACTTTTGAAAGAAGCTTTCTCGACGAAATTAAGGTAATCTCATGTTAGTCCCCATTGCGCTATCTCATTTTTGGTGATAAAATCACTTGAGCGCTAGGAATTGAATTATATCCTGAAATGAATAAGTGTGATTTTTTTCTTTCCTTATTTTTTTCTTATTCAAATCAAGTTTTGTACATTTTTTTGAATCATGTTTTATTTTCTGAAGGGTTCTTTTTCAAAAATCGTGACTGGTTTTTGAAACCTGCACCTGTTATGACGTCTTAGGACAAGATTCGAAAACAGGCCCGTTATTCGTTCAAAGAACGTTGTACTTTTCGATGGCCCTCCTCAAACGACACTTCCGAAAGGGATCAAGCAAGCGCCGCCTGGATTGCCAACGCCGGGAAAGGAATGGTTTCACATCATGTAAATGGAGTTGCGTCATAGATTTTCAAAAGATTTTAAAAGAACCGCCGCCTTTGCTCCAGACGCCGCTGTCTCCCCTTTTCTTGTTCCTTTCAATCGGACGTTCTTGAAGTAAAAAGTTGCATTTAGAGAAGCCTCGACGTTGATTTTTTACAATAGTCTATCATTGAATAATCAAAATTTGTAAATGCCATTCACTGCGCGTCATAGTTATGGACGCACCCCCATTTTTGCAGTTTTCAGAATATACGTTGAACTTCCTGCAATAAAACCTATTTTGTAATGAACTTTAGATCAAATAACTAACATCGCAAAAAAAAAGAAGACTCAGTACAAAAAAAAAATTTGAAATTCGTCAAAAATAGTTTTTTGATCGGGTCATGATTATAGACGCACCCTGGTTCAGTAAAGTTAGTAGGAGGCCACAGCATTTCAAGTAATTTTGAATCAAGCAATTTTGTTTACAAACCATGCGAAAAGCGAAAGAAATCGAAATTTTCCCAAAAAAAAATGGTCTCTTCTGGAAATATCAGAGAATTTATATCGGAGTTTGCTCATTAAATTTTCATACCACGTTGTTTTGAACAATAACTGAAAAGTTCGAGAAGAAAAATGCTTCAGCGGTACGAAAAAACTCCTTGAACCAGATGAATTCACTTTTCATAGGAAACCTGGCGTTATTTGAACCGACCTGTCTTCCCAAAAAATTTTTACACAAGGTTTTTTGATAGCAGCAGTATTCAGAGAGGGTTTCAAATATTTCAGACACTTTTTGACTATCTGAAAAAAGTCTGTTTTCTTTTCCGGAACCGAAGTAAAAAATGAGCCCTGAACCAGGGTGCGTCTATAATAATGACCCGGTCAAAAAACTATTTTTGACGGATTTCGAATTTTTATGTACCGAGTCTTCTGTAGTTTTTTTTTGCGATGTTAGTTATTTGATCTAAGGTTCATCACAAAAAAGGTTTGATTGCAGGAATTTCAACGTATGTTTTGAAAACTGCAAAAATGGGGGTGCGTCTATAACTATGACGCGCAGTGTAGAAAAACAAGGAAATGGCTGGAACAAATTAGTGGGGAGCTATAGTCTGTTTAGATTTTAAATGTCAAGCAGCTAACTCTACTCCTTCTGCCACAGTATCGACTTTTCATCGCGCGGGGTGATTTTTGATCTTTAATTAGTAATTCTTTCTCTCCTCCCATTGTGTGATTATTTGTTTAACACACATTTTTTCATTTTTAATTCACAAAAGAAAATTTTGCGCTGAATTTAATTAACATTCATGAAAAATTCAAATCATGAGATTCTTCACAGTTAAAAATGTGGAATGATCACCTTTTAGGCTTGAAAAAAAGCCAAAAGAGAATTCGTCCAAATATTTTCAAAGATCCATTTTTATGAAGGTTTCAAATCGTATGAATTTTTTTGAGGAAAAATTAAAAAAATCTTTTTTTAAAAAAACTAGGAGCCGCCAGTAACTTGGAATAGCGAATTTCGGCTTAACCGATTTTCAACACCTTTTTTTACAATCATCTTGCAGAGATTTTTTTGGAAGTCTCTCTCAGGACCTTGGAGCATTTTCTTCTATCATAAAGCTTTCATATCTTCCAATGTTTCACTTCTTTTTTATTGAAGAATCACAAATCTTGATGGTGGCGGGGCGGAGGGAACGCGCGGGCGACGGTGCGTCAGGCTATTTTCAAACTGTTTGCGGCTCCTTGAATGTTGTATGGCATTTGCAAATGGCGTCTCGATCTTTTTTCTTTTTAGTGGCCGACAAAAAATGTTGTTTAGCTGAAGATTTTTATCATTTCATAGTGGGAAAAATAGTTTTGTTAGTTTTTGAAACGTTGTTTTCTGACTAAGACAAAATGATTCAAGCTTTTTTTATTGATCTAGCATAAATTTGGATTTATATCGGAAAAAAATTTCGCAGCGTCGCAGAAACTCCAAACATCGTTGAACGAAGAACGGAGGGACAGATTTTTCTTTTTTTTTTATTTCGCAAAAATCTGATCGATGGCCGAGTCTGGAAGACTGTACTCTAAAATAAAAACCTTCTAGATTTCGTAATAAAAACTTTCTCGACATCGTTTCAAATCTCCTTAGGAAACTTTTTTCGCATCTGGGATGGCCGCCTGGCGCAGCTGCCTCTTTTTTTCTCTGTACTTTTTCATTCCTCCGATCGCCATGTTTGGTTGGAATCTCTTTTCCATTTTATTTCTCTCTTTATTTGAAATCTCTTACTTTTTCATATCTACTATTTTTTTTGCTTTTCTTTGTTCTCTCGTTGCCTACAAAATTCCCTTTGTTGATATATTTTATTGCAATATTATATTTTCTTCATTCAAACGGCACTGGTTCGCTGCCAAAGTCCCAGAAGCTCTGGAAAATTGCTATCATGATTTTGCACTTTTTGGAAATTTCAGAAATCGACAAAAACAAGTCAACAATGATAATTATGCAGGACGGATTGGTCACAGTTTATGACGTTTGTTGTTTTATTCGAAGTGCTAGAATGATAGTCATATTCCAGCTGGACGCTACGCTAGCCATTCTCATCTACAATCCAGACAGTTTTGGCCTGATTTATAATGGATTGCCGGTGAGTCATTCTCATCAGAATATTTAAAAAGTAAAGTTCATTTATCAGCAGCCGATACTCAACCAGGCTGTGATCGCTCGTGAAGTGAGTTTTTTCGAAGAGTTTTTGAAAATAGTTTTATTCAGGGAGCCCTGTTGGAAATCCTGCCCAGGACCATCGCGGCGATGTTGAACGAGTACCAAATTATGCCTGCGCATAACAACGAGGAGAGCATTTACGTCAGTTTTTCGAATTCTTAATTTTGAAAACAATTTGAAAAGCAACAGAAACAATTTGGAGTTTTTTTACACAAATGGTGCACTTTTTCAATAAAGAAAAAAATTTTTTCCATAGATTAGTTCATTTTTTTCTCAGAGTTTCTCAGAAAAATCCTGCTTCAATGAAAAATTTTTATATTCTTCATCCTCCGGAAATGATAGCTTTTTACAGAGAGACATGTGTATTATGAAGCTCCAAAACATCTTCTTCATGATCCAGAACAGACAAAATCTGCGCTCCATGGGGGTCGAAGCCATCCAGCAACGGCTTGCACTCAATTGAACCATCCTTGCCTTCCAATTTGTTGTTCCTATCTTGAGTTATGTCCCATTGATTTTAAATATTAACCGGTTCCGTGTTTTAATTTTCAAGTAGCTTTGTATCTTTTTTATATGACGTTTTTTTGAATTTTGTTGGATTGTATATGAAGGAACTATTTACTTAGATATCAGTGAAAAGTTTGCACAAACACTTTCAACTCCATTTTATAGAAGAAAACCAAGCTCTTAGGCCTTTTTTTAATCTTTTTTTCTGGCTTTCTGTCCGTTTTGAATTAGCACACAGTACTATGAAAAAGAAAAAAATACAGTTTCCCGACGAGAGAATGGTGAAAGACCGGTTCCAGTCAGGCCTTGCTTTTCTGTCTTTTGGCGTGCGCGACCGCGGAGACTTGCATACAGTAATCGGAAAAGAGAGAAAATAGGGCCGGATACCGTTCCATGGTGAGGGAAGTAGGAAAGAACCGGTTCCCGAGAGGCCGTTTCGTTTCTGAATTTTTGTTTTTGCGTTCCCTTGTGTACAGTAGGAAAGAGTTCCTGCTCCGAAAAAAACGCGTTATGAAGCAAAATTAAAATCGTAATAAAATTTCCGGTGTATTTTTCTTTTCAATGAAAAGTAATTTGACCCTCACCCGTAAAAAAAACACGACAATGTAAAACTTTTGGCCGACAAATTTGAGGTTGAAGTAAAGCACCCGGAAAGCAGATTTTAAAACAGCTTTTTTTTCACAGGCATCAGATGGTCAAACGGCGTACAATTCAAGTTTTACAGCGCAGCGATTTTGATTTGATGGATAAGTAGTTCGAAATTTTCAGGATGAGAAAATTCATAGTTTTCGAGAAAAGGTTTGTATGAGTTTGTTTTTTGATTGGCCTTTTTGGATGTTTTGAGACATCATTTTGAGAATATATTGAAATGAGCAGGCGTCCAGGGTTTTTCTACTGTAGATTGAGATGATTACAGCCATTTTCGAGAATCTTGGTTATATGGAAATCTCCATATCGGACCGTAACGAAGAAAATTTTGTCGAGCAAATAGAATCCACTACAATATTTCCTTGTGGGAGAGCAGTTAAATTGCCTCAATTTTTCCTCCAAGGCTCATATAAGTGAAAGAATTTTTTGAGTAACATTTTTTTTTTGATAAGTGATGATTTTCTTCTACTTATGTCTTAACCGGCGACTGACCTGTTGTCTTGCAAACCTCAAAGAAACTAAACCTAACAATGTTTTCTTGTTCCAGATCACGGCTCCTTTCCCATGATTCCGGTCATGGAATTTCGAAAAAAACAACCCCATTAGCTGCTCAAAAACGATGGGATTTTTCTTAAATGTCGTTCTCAAAAGAATAGAAACGAGCGCCGCGATTGCGTGCGATGGGAACGGCATGATTCCGAACGGTCCCGCCGCCTTAATGGAGCCGCGCTCTTTTCCTCTCAAAACATACGGCCACAAGCGCAGTTGCGCGGCTCCTCCTTTTATTTTTTTGTTTTTTTGAAAATTTCTGAAAAAAATAAGTTTTCAAAAAAACGTGGAGCTCACATGAACTAACTCAATTATCATGAAGCTGTAGACAACATTATTTCAAATCAAACCCGTTTTTTTCACTTTTTAAAAAAATAATGCAAATTAATTCAATTTTTGAATGTTTTTCTCGTATTTTGATGAAGAATTTCATACTTTTTTTATCTAAGACATGCACTAAAGAATCTCTTTGCGGTCGAATTTTTGATGAAACTTTTCCTGGAAGACCCTGCTGAAAGACTTTTAAGGCCTCCTGATTCCAGAACAAGAAAAAAACTCGCAATAGATCTGTGTCAAATTAAGACAATGGAAAAACGCTTCTTTAAAATTATAATTCAAGTATTTTTGCGAAGTTTAAAACTTTATAAATCGGAAGCAAGATCTATTGCTAATATTTTTTGCCATTTTTTGGAATCAGGAGTTCTTGAAATGCATTTCAAATTTCATCAATAATTTAAATAGGTGCTAAAAATCGTTCTCTAGTTAAAAATTTGTTCCGTCATATAAATTTAATCTTTTCAAGACCTGTTAAGTTTAAAAGTTTGTGTTCCCTTCCTCAGATGAACTTTTTTGACTGAAAAAAGGGGCGAGAAAATGTCCATAACAAACATTTTCCTGTAAAGTCACAACGGCTCTTTGACTTTTCCCATGACGATTTCCCCCGCTCCGAAACATTTTTTTTCTCAGTGTCATCGATAAAATCAATTTATTCTGTTTATGTGGCCGTTTACATCTCGAGAAACTTGAAAACATCGTTTTTCGTTTTCCAGAATAATTCTTCTGATTCATCAGGTTTTCAGGCGGACTTGAGGACAGATCCAGTCATGTTGTGCTTGATCAACGGGATGGCGTTCTGCTACGATGTGAGCGTTTTGCCTTTTTTGAAGATTATCAAACTGTCGATTCAGACGGAGGTCATTGAGGTCATCACTGCCAAAAATGAGGAATACGCTTTTCTTCTTACCGGAGTTTTTCCGGTGGGTTTTTCGCATCTTTATACTTTTAAAAAAAATTTTTTTTTTTCAGCAACCGGCCCCTGGACAGGCAATCTTAACTTCTGAAGTGAGCTTCCGAATATGTTTTAAAGCCGAATATTTTCAGGATGCGATGATTACTGTGACCTACCGAAGCTTGATTAAACTGCTTTTCGAGCATCAGGCCGAGCCACGCGAAACTCCGGAGGCTAAAAAGGTTGGCTTTCTACTTCTGGAATCTCAATCTTCTTTGAAAAAAACCCAGAAGTAGGCAAAACTTGTAATATTTCAAGAGAATTGATAATTGTCGGTCAGTTCGCTCAGAACTGAACTTCAATGAGCTTAAAAAAAAGTTCAGTACATGACCGCAGAAGGAATGACTTGATGCAGAAATACTTAGAGCCATTTTCCGTGCTATCATGAACTCACGAAATCAAAGATGCATCAAGCGCACCGTCAAAAAGACATAATTTTTCAGAGAGTCGAAATCATTTTCAAGCTGCACAAGATTTTCTACCAGATCTGCACCATGCAGCGCCTTCGAAACGTTCTGCTGTCGCTCCAGCTTCTCTGAAGAACAAGAAACTTTTGAAGCAAGTAAAATTATGGGTTTTGTTGCCTGCCCGTTTGTCGTTTTGTTGATTGGCCTTTTATAATAAAAATGTTGACTTTGTTCAGAAAATGTTGGTTGAAAAAGCGAGTAAAGTTTTATCGGAATGAAAAAAATACGATTTTTTTTACTAGTTATTCAAAAATCTTTTCAAAGTGCGATTTATTATGCATTACATAGTTGAATTAACTAATAATATAGAAGTTTTACTGCGTCTGAAAGTTTTTCAGATTTCTTTCATCATTTTTCAAAAATTGAAGATTTGTTTTTAAACGTTGAAAGGCTGTTCTTAACTTTTCGCTCATAAAAAAATGTATTTTTCTCTTTTTTTCATCTGTTTTTGAAAAGCATGGATTTCAAAGACAGTCGGAGGGCGGGACGATAACCCCAGCTAAAGGAAAGCTTCGATCACAAAACCGATCGCAACTGATCTGAGTATGCTCATGCTCTGCTTTCCATCACGTTTCTTTTTTCAACTTTCTTCATTTTTTTCCCGTTCATTTTTTGGAACTTTTTCCATCTAAAGCTCATAATATTCAACGCATCAGTAGCTCAAATAGTACGTTTCAAAATTTTGGAACCTGTCGTGTTTTTACTCCTCATCATACAGTTCTGGCCAAAAAGGTGTTAAAAATGAAATTTTTTTCTATCGAGAATAAAGCTAATCTTTTTAAAGTATTATCGAAAAAATCAGCGGAATGAAAATTAAGCCCCGTCTAAGCTGTATTCTGCAGAGCGTATGAGGTGAGGAAGTTTAATAAAAATAGTTTGGAAACTACTTTGGAAGATGTTTCGAAGCTTTTGAACATGGAAAGTCGGTTTTTCAAACAAAATAGACTAAGTAAAGTCCATTTCAACGATGAGGCTTTTAAACACAAGAAGTTTTCAAAATAAAAGTTTCTAATTACTATTGAGCTAGGAAGGTAAACCCAAAGGCTTATTGAAAGATAGCTCCAGGTGCAGTTTTGAGGTTTCTTGAAAAATCATGATTTTTAAAAATCTAAAAAAACTTTCATATTCACAAAAAAAGGCTTTTTTTGCTCTTAACTCTAGTTTTAGTCAAGCAGAAAAAAATTCTCATTCTGGTAATATTTTACTTTGAAGTTATTTCAAACCTGTGCAAAGTTCCAAGAAATTTGAACGATTTCCAAAAAAGTTATGCCCAAAAAATCATTCTGAAATACCTTCATAAACAATATGAGTGTTGACCCATGATTTTCCAATAAAATGAATAATTTTTCCGATCTCACAATATCTCGTAAATTTTTTTTGGAATTCGTGAAAAAAAGAGTTTCATCAGTTCATTTTCTCTGATTCATCGAGCTCAAAAATGTTCAGTAGTACACAAAAATGTTTTTTGATTCGAAGTTGTTTGCTTACAAACTGGTACGATTCTTTCAATCCTTTTAGGATCTTTCCCGTTTTTCTCGCTCTTAATTCATTTATTCTCTCCACCCTTTTAAAAATCACTCCAGCCTTTTAAGATTTTTCCCACGCTTCTGGTATAAAAGGATTTTTCGAACACACAGAAGGCATAAAGCGGACCAGTCAACGTTTTTTGGTTTTCCTATGAAGTTTTGTTGCGCGTCGTTGATTGTTGCATGTTTTATTAGTTATTTATTTTCTGCTTTTGTAAACTTGAGCTGAATTTCCTTGATCGCTATAAATTTCTCTCTTTTATCAAATTATCGCTTTTTCTAGGTGAGCACGATGTTGGCAATTTGTCAAGGACTGGTCTACCTAATGGATGTTTGTCAACTCATTTGTATTTTTGAACATAGGATTCTTTATTTCAGCCAGAAATAGTCCAAACGATTTTAATCTACAATCCCCATCTGAACGGCATGTTCTACACGCTTCAGCCAAGAAGGACATTCATAAATGACGTTCGTTTTCTGTATTTTCTTTCTAATAACAGAACTAGCTTCAGCCCGATTTCTACGGATACTTTCTAGACCAGAGGCCTGAAATCTACGGAGTTCTTTGGAGCCCCGACATGCAATCAAGGGCATTTATTATGTCGCCAGTGAGTTTTAGGAACTTTTGTGGTTTTCCCGTGGTTGATTTCTAGACGCGATTGATCCCGTTACTACAAATGACGAAGTGGCATGTGCTGATGAGTCGAGGGGCCGCTTTTCCTCGAAACGTGGTCGAGGCCAACATGGTCCGTCTCATCTAATTTTTACATCAAACTGATAAGCGAGTTGGGTTGATTGACGAGGGTGAAGCGTTGCGTACGCGACGCGGCTTCCCGACGGGACACTCGAAATCATGAACAAGCCACACTTTTTCTCCTGTTCTGAAAGTTTATCAACTTACTTTTACTTATCAAGGTTATGAAAAATTTCCTTCGAACTATTAAGAAACAAATAGAAACAATAGGAAACTCGTTTTTTTCAAATTTTCTCAATGATTGCGTTTGATCTCGAGTTCCCGGTCATAAAGCCGCGCCGCGTACGCAGCGCGTCACCTCATCTATCTACTCTTTCCGTTTTTGCGAACCGCGAAAAATTTTTTTAATACAAAGTTTCATGAAAAAAAGGTTATCAGTGATGAACAAGTGAACTTATAATAAAAAAAGTAAAACAGCTCGGTTTTTTTCTTTTTCCAAGTTTTTTTAGACAGGAACGGCCAAGGTCAAAACATTAACGAAAAAATATCACTTCCAAACACCTTTTCACGCTTCAAGACTAGGAAAAAAAACTTGCTACTTGAAATTTGAATATTTGCAGTGAACACTTTCTTTTAAAATCAATCTAACACTTTTTTGCGTTACAGATCGACCCAATGATCGACAAACTGATCCAAGCCGAACGGAAAATCATGCGGTATGAACAAGCGAACCGCGTAGCTGCCGTAGACCTTCTGCGATTTGGCCCTCCACTTCCTCAATAGCTGCTTTTGTGTCTATTTTGAATTCTTCTGGTGAAACATTTTCCAAGTGTAACTTTTGACATCATAATTTAAAACCGTCCCCATTTTTGTTCTTAGAAAATTTTTGTTTTCATAATGTCAAATCGTCATTTTCCGTTTTTTCCTTTGCTTTATCAATAAAGATTTGTCTGTTTTAAAATTTTGAATTATCGAAACTCTCGGTTTCCATTGATTTTCACAATTGTGTTTCAAATGGTCCGTATAAATAACTGTATTGAATCGACTAAAAGGATTCAGAAAGGTTTTTCCCCTAATGGAAAAGGGCCCTGTAGGCTTTTGCGAACACCGGTCCGTTAGCTTTTCGGCCCCGGCTGTTTTCGAAGCCCGGCCCGGCCCTAACGGGGCCTCAAGAAAAAATGGCCGGTCCGGCACAAAACGCGCAATTTGCTAAAAAAATATTCCAGCCTTCAAATTGCCATTTTTGAAGGCTGGAATAAAATATTTTTTCTTCATAAAAAACCGAAGATTTTATCGTCGCGCTCACTGAGCGAGCGCGACGATGACTGTTCAATTTCTGCGGTGCAGCTCGAGAAATAATGGGGAAAAAAAATGGCAAGTCTCCTTGTCCTTAGTCATCGCTCATAGTTTATCATTGCATTTGTTTTTTCTCCTCAACCTTCTTTTTTCCAGTCTTGAGACCGTTCTGAAGTTTCTCTCAGCTTATAAGAGCTCTTTAGTCACATCTTTGGAGCAAATGGAAGGTATCTTTTGATAAGTAGCAGCTCTATAGGTTTTTTCAAAACAAAATTCTGAGAGCTGAGAATCGAAAAAGTTTTATCAATAGTTTTTTTTTTTTGATTCTTTCTTAAAAACCTTTCTCTGTTGCCTCTACACTTAGCAAAGTGTATGTTTTATTTTTTTTTGTTGCTTTGAACAATCCATTGGTTTCAACGACAGTCGAGGGGCGGGCGCAATATAAATAGAAAAAGCCTTTGGAACAAAAAAAGAAGCCAACCCACACGATTTTCTATCTTCATTTTGCTTTCTTAGAACTATTAAAAACTGAAGATATTCTATTAAAATATTGGGATTTTTCATTAGTGGATCATAGGAGAAGATTTTTCTTAAAAGGGAAAAAAATCTTGATTTTATATCTTTATTTTTGTTAAATCTCCACCAAAACGTTGTGTTATGATATCTCTCTTCGATTTTGTGTCCGTAATCGATTTCTTTTCAGAAACCTTCTCATAAAAAAACCAACATGGAGTTCTTCCACGGAATAGCGATTGTCATGGATGTTTGTCGAATTATCTTTTTCGTTCGGTGTATTTTGTGTTATTCCAGAATGGGCTCATCGATGCTCTTCAACGCATAAACCCGAATCTCTACGGAGTTCTCTGGGTCCCTGGATTGAACTCTAATGTTTTACTTGCATCGCTTGTGAGTTTTTCGGAAATTTGGCTTTTTTCCCAACTAACGAAATTCAGGTTCGCTTACAACGAATTTTTTCGGAAGCGTTTAGAAACATTTTGGCAAGCCACAATGCAACGAACCCTCAAACCTACGAAGAAGCTCTCGCAGTCAGTTTCATCAGAATTCTGAAATACTTTAAAAACATTTCCAATTTTGTGACAAATTTCGACAGAGCTTCAAAAAAAAACATTTTTTCATAAACAGATCTTCTCAAATTTATAGTGCTTTTTCAAGATCGACCCCATCCTGGGTAAAATTTGGCGTTTCTACAATATGGTCCAACAGCTCGACATTGCGGGCGAAAGGGCAGTTGTCGAGTGGACCCGTAGACATCCAGCTTTCCAGTGATCACCGGATCCCGATTCTGATTTCCACCCATTTTTTTCATCTTCACAATAAATTTTAATCAAATAGTTCATTCAAAATGTTTCCCATTGCTAATGTCTCTTTCCAAGTTTAATCCAAGTTTTGTACCTTCCATATCAGAGTGTTTTTTTCTTTGGAATTAGTAAAAATTTTTGACGGTTTTTTTGTCGTTGTTTTTTTAGCTATTAGAAAAAAACTTGTTTTTTTAGGAATTTCGAACTTTTTTTAATAAATTTAAATCGATTCTCCGACACACTTAAAAAAATAAAAAGGCAACTTTACGACTTTTTAACACTATATGAGAAGATATGGCTGCAAGTTCTGGATTTTTTCCTCTGAGTGGTACGGTAACTTTTTCTTCAATAGATGCGGCTTGTTGCCGTCTTCTCTTTAGTTCAGATTTGAAAAATAGTGGCAAACTAGAGTCGAACAGGCTATATCCATGCGACCAACGAGAATCATAACGGCAACTGAATTGAGCATTTTTCGACTTCAAAATCATTATCTTGTTAATTGAGAATATTAGAAACTGGGAGTGTGGAAAAGTCAACAGCTTTCGCAAATACTTTTTTCGCCAAAAAATAGAAAGTTGTGGGTTTGAAATATTTATAAAATCCTTTGAACTTGCTTCAATTCCCGCATCTGTTCATAAATATAGTTATTAAAATATTATTCTCCTAAAAACCACCAAAAACTTGTTAATAAAGGTTTCTAGGGTCTTCAAAAGCCAAGTGAGTATTTCGTAGATCAACGCTTCCAGATCCACAAGTTTCCATAGTTCAACCTTTGAAATGTCGCCGAATACTTTGTACAGCCCGCAAGAATCGACTCTCAATCGTGGCCTTTGGTGCCCCAATACGCGTATCTGAACATGACTGTACAAAAATTAGAGATTTGATGTGGCATTTAGGAAGTCGGCGAAACGATGACTGTCCGCGCCGTGCGTCACGGCTCGAGGAATATTCCGGGTGTCAGGAAGATGGCTGATCGCGATTGTGTCGAAAACAGCACGGCGAGGCTCTTTCTCCTTAGTCATCGAATCCCGTCGCAATCTTTTTTTCCCGATTTTATTCTCAATCATAAGTTTTTCTGTTCCTCCGACAAGAGACGGTTTTGCGTTAATTTTATTTATTCTAAGCTTTTCCGACAACTGTCAGGTTAATAAATTCATTTTAATTGTACTTTTCATAGTAACATTACTCGATTATTATGTACTTCTTTGGCTAAGTTCATTCTCGAAGCTATGAGTTTTTTTTGTAGTCTAACTGTAGACTAAATTATATTAAAATTTCAAATAGTTTGAAAACATTCTCTTTCAGTTCAAGTCAGAGTAAGGCGAGAATTTTAACCTCTATTCGAGGGAATTTTTTTCTAATCACTGGAAATAAACCATTTCGAATACACTCCCAAGCCTTTGGTCTATGAACCATAAGGTCTGTTTAGAAATGCTTAGCGATGTCAAAATCAGGGAAGTCGCGAGAAAAGCGATTTTTTGTGTGGATATACGCGATGTATTGATTTTTTTGTGCTGTTTAACAGCAAGGAGACAAAAATAGTCGTTAACGGCACACTGTCGCAATTGATTATTTCGCGAGTCCGGTCAAAACTTTTCCGGTAGCTTGAGCTTTATAAAATTACTTACGGACCAAAAGTAACATCAAAACGCCGTAGCCCTGATCTAGTCGAAAATTGCTTTAAATAATAAGGGATTTTTCTGGTTTTTGGCAAAATTAGTCAAAGCTTTTTTAGTTTTAATCTGTTCGGCTCTTTCATAAGGCTTTTTTATTAAAAATTTCGACGCTCAACAGATTTTTCTGTTATTGAGTACTCAGCTCGAATTCTATTTTTCCTATGGATTAGGCTTGATCCAGGATAACAACTTTAATATCATTCAAAATAAGTCTTCACAAAACAACTAAAATTTGAAACATTAAAAAAACTGACAGATTTTTTTAACTTCAATATGATTCATTGCCTTGCAAGAACTCTGCCAAGCCCATTTTAATAGTTTTATGCGTTTTTGCAGTTCTTCTACAAAAATAAATTCACTCCGTTTACTGTTTTATAAACTTTTTTTTTCAGAAAAATCAACTTCTGTGACGATGGAATTTGAAAACAGCATGATTTATATTCACGATGTTGGTCCTTTTTTTTCACTGATTCTAACATTGATTTGTTTCAGCGTGACATGGCTTTAGCGATCTCTTTCTTCAATCCAAATATCCCGGGGATAGTTAGGAATGCAAATGGAGCAATCGTCGCCATTATAGCTCATGAAGTAGATTTTTTTTTGTTTTTTTCTGAGAACTCAATCTCAAATTTTTTTATTTCAGGGGCGGATGGAGTTTTTACTCAACAACACTATTGAGGGGTTGAGTGCCAGAATGAATGTGGCGCCTGCTCTTGAACCGGGACTTGCTCAGCTGGTCAGTTTTTTGAAAAAAAAAACAGCCTGTAAAAATCATTTTCGATTGGCTAATTTTGGTTGTTATCGCCCTTTAATAAGATGACAAGAAAAAGAAGAAGGTTTGATTTTCATTAAGTTCGTTAGGTACAAATTTATTGAGTTTCTTGAGCCTCTGAAAAATTTCTTTAGTCAGGAACTTTTATGTCATTTACTGTACCTCCATTCGGAAAATAAAATAATTTTTTCTCACAAATAGCAGCTACCAGGACGTTTTTACCGACCAGAAGTAAAATACCTCGTAAAGGACTTCCTAAGTTGCCGAGTTTTTTTCAGAGTTGGTCGTATCGTACGTTTGCATGAGTTTTCGGGGCGAAAAACACTGCCAAAATTTCGATCAAAAAAGAATCTGTACATAATGAGCGTTCGAAAAAAAACCATGACTTATTAGACAACTCAATATTGAAAAACCACTCAAGCATACCGAAAACCGACTCCATATTAAAAAAATACTTGATTTTCAGTACAACAACGCTCTTTTCAACTTGCGTTACTTCTCCGAGACGCTTCGTTATTACATCTTCGAATGCGAAATGACTGCTATCGAGAACTACATGAATCCACATAATCATTCGTGAAATGCTTTTTTAATTGCTACCCATTTGTATCTGTTAACTTTTTTAAATTTCTTCTTTCTAAAGATCTTACTTTAATGCTAGGTTGAATTATTCCAAGTTTCTCGAAAATTTGTGAAACTCGGGTTTACAACGTTTCAATTTTTTTTTTTTACTGCTGAGACGAAATTCTTTGAACGTACGTAAAATATTAGGAACAAAGCGCGTGAAGAGAAGGTTTTTGGGCGTACGTTCAGTTTTTTTTCAGTTCATTTTTAGCCATGGATGTATGTGAAACAGTTTTTATTCAGATTGCATTCATTGAGTCAATTTTCTTCCTGTTTGTTTTATTTTGGATAATAAAAACGATAATTGCCATAAAATTGCTTTTTCTCCTTTTATTACTCCGAGACATTTCTGTGAATTGAGAATTGAGACTACTGGAACCATCCAAACCGTAATTTTCTCAACCCATCAATCAACACCCGAGCCAAATTCTTTTTTTTTCTGGCCAATGGTCATCCTGCTTAAGCCACAGCTCACAGTTAAACACAGTTAACTTCATGAAAGTCCATTTTACATGCATTCTCACATTGAAGATGCAATAAACAGTTTTCTTTTAAAACAAAACAATGGCCATCCGAACCGGAAAGCTGTTTTCAAATAAGAAATCTCAAGTTCGAAAAAACCTTGAGAGAATCGTCGTAGTAGTGCATCCGATATACTTTGCGGTTGGAAATTTTTCAAAATTTGGCCGGATCACTCTTTGATGTACCAAAAGAAGATTCCGAAAGTCTCGACCTGCACGCATTTCCACTTTTCGAGAATTGAGTTCCAAAAGACCGCTTTTTACAAATTTTGAAGGTTCCTCCGAACTTGAGATGTCTTTTTTGAAAACTGGGAAGTTTTGCAGGTTAGAAATTTTAGAGCTTTACTCTGGGACATCAAAGAGTATTCTGGCCAAGTTTTAGGAAATTCTCAACTACAAAGTGAAATGACCTTCCTTGTTGAGTGAACTGTGTTTTGTTCAGAGAAGAGAGGAATTTTGGCAATTTCTTCTTCAGCTTCGATTTTTCAAACATGGAAAACTCAGACATTATAATATAAACAAACGCCGCGGAAAACCGAGGAAAATGTGATTTTCCACGAGACTCCATAGTTTATTGTGATGAGAGACACACGTGCGACGTTCTTGCTCATGTTTCCAGCGGCTTTCGTCGGTGGCCGTCAGACGCCTTTCTCCTGATTAATTGTCCCAAATACTCAAGCAAGAAGTGGCCAGTATGGATCTGCGTCCGACTACTCACTACTCACGATGGTTCGTTTTTCGAAATCGGAAAAGTAAAAAACAACAAAAACGAGGGTCGCGAAAGTGGTTTTTGCCTTTGAAGCGCTCTCACTTGGCCCATCCTCCATTCGCCAAGTTTGAAGTTCAAATTTGCACTTGAGTTGAACGCCTGAAATCTTTGAAGACGAACTGCTCCCTTCTCCGACTACAGCCGACGCCTCTCAGCTCAACATGGATTCGTAAGCTTCTTTGGTTTCAGTTTTTAGGAGAATAAACAAGAAAGTTCGTCATGTGAATGCAGAAACGAATGAAAAGTTGTAGAATGAGTCCTTCAGAAAGAAAGCGGTTTGATCGGCATTATCTGGGCTCCTAGAGCTTTTTGATATTTGATTAAAGTTTTTTCCTCGTCATTTCACGTTTTCGGAGATTTTTTTTGAAATGTTTCTTTCCATTAATCAAAAAACCCTCAACAATTTGGGAACTATAAAATTTCAGAATTTAAACTCAATGACAAATTTTTTTGTTGTAGTTGAAAAAAATTCCATGCAATGTTTTCTCACGTCCTGATCTCGAAAAACTGAAACAGTATTCTCAGTTTTTAGAATTTATCCCTTCAAATCTTGAAACTTAATCGAATGTCGCTCAAATACTTTTTTTCTGAATAAAAAAACAAATTCGATTCAGAAACATTTTTTTTCTCCTACCGTACCTTTCAAATGAAAAAAAGTCGTACATGCAACGGATACGGAGGAAGTTTTTCTCAGCCGGGCAATAACTCAAAACAAACCTCGAGGTTGACGAAGAGGAAAATCCCAACCACAAACACGGCCATCACGCAAAAGTGAATAAAAAATAAAGCATTTGGGCCGGCGGATAAGAAGGTTCTGCCGCCTCTCATATATTTTGGAGAACGGCGGCGTCTTCAGATAAATTGGAGCAAAAAGACGTCGGTAAGGCATCCGGCCAATATCAGCGGCATGTCGTCCTTGTCGCGATATTGCCTGTTGGACGTCGTTTCTCCGAGTTGAAAGCTTCTCGAACATCCTCTTGTTTTTGCTGTTTTCACTACTCCGTCACGAGTTTTCTTTTTTTTTTAAAGCTTTGTTTTGAGCTTCACCGAAGTTATTTTTCAATCAAGAAATTTTTTTAAACTCTGAAAAAATTAGTTATTTTTTAGCCCGTAATCGACAAGTTCCTAAGAATTTAATTACTCTCCACCTTCTCTTTTCGAAGCCTTGGCGTAGTTCTGAGGAAATTCTCTCTAGTTTTGATCTTAAAGGGTTTTTTGAACAACTTCTGATTTTTTCAATGAAGAGGCAATCCAATCAACTTCAAAGTTATGTTTTTTTGCGATATTTCATTCTGAAAACTTTTTTTTTCCAAGAAAAGCTTTTTATGCCTGGCCCTCCACGCGCCTCTTATTTTTGCTGTTTGTATGCTTTATTCATGCGTTTTTCGCTCTTTCAAAGCTCACTTGATTTTTTACAAGTGTCGGGAAGATATTTTCGGAAATTCATAGTCTCATAGGAGCTTCAAAAGACTATGAAGAGCATACCGTTAAATCAGGTATTGATTGGTTTAAAAGTGAAAAAATGATGAATTCTTTTTTTTAAGGTTTTCGTTACCAAGCTATGAACTAGTTTAATTTTCTAGTTTGGCATTCAAAGAAAAAAATCATCGTTGTCAACCCAGACCCTTTTGGAAATAAAATTCAGCAATTTTTGATCAGCTTCACTGAGTTTTCATGAGTTCTTAAAATTTCGAATATCCCTGAAAGTAAATAAAATCATCTGAATATTGTACCATTTTCGAATCTCATCATCAAAACCTTCATATCCTAATTTTCGCATGACCTTTTGATTCCTAACCTTCTCAAAATAGCGAACCAAACCTCGAGGGTCTCCCTGAAAACAACAAAAGCCGAGTTGATGTTTCCGTTAAATTGATACCGAGACGAAAAGGTTTTGGTCATCGGATTTCATCCGCCAAACGCCTAGATTCTACCAACCTCCTACGTCTCGACATTAATCTTTAACGAATCTATACAACATGTCCGTATTTGCTCTGCGTTGTTATGCGAACGTTGCAAGTTTCCTGCAAGACTTTCGGGAAGGCCACGAATGAACTTTCTGCTATAATTCCTGTCGTCGCGGCTTTATGAGAGCTCGATATCATCTTTTGCGTCAATCGTGAGTTTGATCCTGGCGTCAAACATTTTCCCACGAATGATATGAGAAAATGTAGTTGTTTTCTCTTCAAAATCATCATAACCTCACAGTTTGACTTCGAATGCATTTTTGAATTCTATTTTCTACTTTTTTTATCAGGAAAAATTGATTTTTTTCTTCAAAAGATGATTAAAAATTTTTTTAACCGAAAGACAGTTTAAATTTAGTGAACAGCCTTGTTTCGAAACGCATCATTTTATCTTTGTTCATTTCCTAACGTCCTTCGTTCTCTTGAATTTTTGATTATCAAAAGTTTAAAATTTTTGAAACAGCAGTTTGAAATTTTGCCGTGAAATTTAGCTAAAAGGTAGGAAAGTTAACTTCTTTTCTGATAAAATCACTGTTCGTAGCTTCCCTATCACTTAAAAATTTAATTCTTTTCGAGTTTCTCTTTCTTTGTTTCGGTTTATTTGTTCCCTCCTCACTCGATTTTCTGCAAATATAAAAACTTTGGTGTTTCGACTCTTACTAGGGTTAAAATCACATTCATTAACATTTCAAGAAAGAATTTTCCATTTGTAGCATCATTTCTTTCTGGGCGAAACTACCATTTTGCGGAAAAAAAAAATGAATTTGATATTTTTCTATCTCTCTTATGTTACAAATTTTGCTGAACCATCACAGTCAATATAGATCTATTTGTTTGTTTCGACTTCCGTTCGGAAAAATTTTACACTTATTCTTTCTTCTCTATTGTTATAATGGAAAAAAATCTTCGGATACATTTTTTTTACTTTGAGAAGTATTTTACGTAGAAGATTTATCGAGGGCTTATATTTTTTTTCGTTTTTCTTTTTTTGTATGAAAAACCAATCAAAAGGCTCTTGTTTATCAAACTGTACAGGCAATCATATCACAATAGTCTTTGTCAAACAAGGAAGTGTGAAAACTAAAAAGAAGAAACGAAAACATAAAAAGCTATAATAATTCAGAAGACTCAAGTCTTCCAGCCAATTCAGTTTCCGTTGACATTTGCCCTTGGGAGCTTTTACTATTGGATAACCTAAACCTATTATTATGTCGGATGGAAAATTGACGCGAAAAGCGCATCGTCATAGGACGATTACCACCATGAATACACTTTCGGAAAAATACTCGGTAATTGTCACTTTTCCCGTCGGTTTCCATGTCTTCCCTCTAGAGAAGAACAGCGCCATTATCCTGGAAAAGATGCGCGGCTCTTATTTTTAGTTCATGTCCACACCTTTTTGGCTTCGGGGTCGTTGCGAGCTGTGAATAAGGTGAGCCTCCTCCATTATTCTTTTCGAGCCGATTCAGTTGAAATCCTGACGTCAGCTTATAGCTTTTGAAATAAGTATAGTGAATCCTTTTTAGCTTGAAATCAAAATTTTCCTTCTGAAAGTAGTTTTTTTTTTATAACGCAGTTTGAACGCTCAGATGACCTAAGATGGTTTTGTCCACGCCAACTTGCACTTATTCAAAGTCCGAGATTTTACTTGGAAATTTTCTTCAAACCATATCTTTCTTAAATTTACCTCGAACATAAA